GGTGAAAGCCGATCTCTAATGCATCTTGCCCCACTTTGGCACTAAAGAGAACAACAGCCAGCAATAAGAAACTGATGTAGAGGTCCACCAACCACAAAAATGGTTGGGCAAAGCCCAACATGGCCGGACAAGCGGCGAATGGCTCAATTCTACTGCAATTTTGAGCCACTGCAAACGGATTCGGCGATCTCTTGTGAAAACTTTCAAACTCGTGAGCCCTCATTGCTCATGCCCCCCAACTGCCCTATACTTTCCTCTACATTATATTACATATATATATATATATGTGTGTGTGTGATTATATATGTATATCATTATCTCTTGTTGAGGTGAGCAATTCAAAGTCCAATAGTCCAGCGTGTTTACAAAGTGTTTATATAGAGCAGTGTCATACAAAGGCATGGGGCGAGACATCCACCCAACTCACAGCCGTCTACAGCCATCTAGTCTACGAGATCTACGAGTCTAATTACAGGTGTTGGGGACATCCGCCATCTTCAACGAGACACATAGAGGACTCAGGTGGAACAAGCCATGGGTGCTCCCGGTGCTCCCAACCATCGCCTCAAATGACTTGATGAGCATATCATGAGCCCTCTGAATTCCGAGGCGGAATTCAAGGCTGCAAGGGAGATGAATTGCAGGTCCGATGCTTCGTGCATCCAAGTCACTAATATGAACGCATATGCATCAAACAACCACTGTCGGCTCTACAGAATTGAACCGAATGGCTGAGGGCCACCAAAGCAAGTCCCGCAACAGTGCTGAGGTGATCACAGGCTCAATGTGGCGCAGTCACGATTCATCACGATTCAATACTTCACGTATCTTCAAGTATTTTTAAGTGAGCTTCAAGTGGTGCCAGGTTCCCTATGTTTCCTTTTTAGACTTTGAGATGCTGGCCAGCTCTTCTTCTGAATCGCACAGTGGAACCCACAACTCATTGCCACAGGTATGCCTGCAGGGCTTCAACAGGGCTGCAAAAGGTCAAACCGTCAAACCACATCGGCCCATGGGCCCATACCGTAGGGTCAATTGAGTTGAAGCTGTTGTCTGAATTGATATGACATACAGTATATCACATAGATCATCATGGATCTAGAATGATCCAGAGTGATGCTTCAGAAAATCATTTGTTTGTGACGTTATGCCAAGATACCCTTCGGGCAGACGCGTTTTTGGCCAAGATTCAATCCTAGCCACTCAAGACTGATTGAATATGTTTGGAAGGCACTTGAGACGTTGACATTCTGAGCACACTGGAACACCACAGTGCTACAGGATGCTACCGGTCCAATCGGTCCTTTTCACAATCACTGGAGCGTTCTCTTGTGGTGTCTGCCTGAGTTTGAACACTTGAAAAACAATACTTGCCGCACATCATCAACTCATCTTATCTCCTCCGTTCGTGAACGACTTGTCATTTTACAGCCAAATCCTCCTGCAACTAGTGACCAGTGCTCGAGGATGCGACTGGAGTGGTCGACGCCGAACCCGCCGCCGCTCACCAGTGCGAGTGTTGATCTGCAAATTCGCACCTCGGTTGAGGTTGAGAAAAAATCAGTCAAGTCCTGAACCAAGCATGCAATTCTGCTTGTGTCAGAAGAAGTTGAGACACTAACATAGTTGATCCACGCTGAGAACAAATCATCAGGGAATGATGGCAACAGTTCCAAGATGTTCCAAGCATTAAAATGTGCGGGGCCCAAGCCAAGGTCAATGATGATTTTTGACTGGCCAGACTGGAACTCGCACATCCTGCCATCACATAGCAGCAAGAGAACATAGGAGAACTGTAATCAACTGCAAGGGAAATTTAAAAAATGCCAATAATGATCTGCACGAGGGATTCGCTTGAAAATTGGGAGGGTACATTTGCAAAACCCTGGAAAATCTATAGAAAAACTATAATAGGGCGATCGACGATGACGTAATCGCAGCATGGGAGTCCTGAGGCCAGCTTCAAACATGTTGTTTAAATTGCCTGACATGTGAGCGGAATACTGGCGCCAGCCACCAGAAACCTGCACCTCCCAAACGTAGTCGACCTCAAACGGTGGAACGCTGCACGTGATGAAAGAGACCGAACAAATGCTAAGGCAGCCCCCGGTGTCTAAGTCGAGGTCTGTCGATTCATTTGGATCATTCTAGACGCTATAGCACTCAAAACATACATCCAGTTCGGCATCACCCAGCCTCATCGAACATCATTCAGAATCTGTCCCTCTCTCCCTCTCTCTTTCTCTTTTTATCATTCAGAATCATATTTGTATAATTATATAATATTATATAAATATCATATCATTATGAAATATATTGAGATTTTATGAATATATATATATAGATAGATAGATAGATAGATAGATAGATAGATAGATCATATAGTGATTCAAACCATCCGAGCCGCTGCCACGTACTGCTTCTCCTGGCTCACCATGACCTGAATCCTGGGCTTCGGCTCGATGGCCTCAACTCCTCCCAAGGGCAGACGGCCGTTGCCCGTCCAGAACTCAAAGAGCCGAGACCTGCCACGACCGACAGCAAGGCCCAACATTGGCAACATGGCCATCATGGCCCCAGGGTGGAAATGGGCGGAATAGGGCGGAATAGGAAGGTAAACGCCGCGAAACAAACTCGGAATTAGCGCAGTTCATGTATGGATCTTATGCATGTCTACCAAAAGAAGGCATGAGGAGCACGTCCTGTAGTTAGATGTAATTAGGCTCCACATGGCTCCACGAAATTCAGAGATGTCTCCTCGTATTTCCATTCCTTGTGCCCATTCAAGAATTGCCGTGCCTGAAGTTGTCGTCACTTCGCCGAATAATCTCGAAGATCCAGCTTGCTGAATCTCGAACTTCCGCAGCATCTTTCAAATGTTTCGGTACCAAGCCTTCTGGAATCACGATTTGCGCCAGCTTCTCCATTTGAGTATCTGAAATATGAGCATTGCCCAGAAGAAGCCATTGAAAAATGTCCACCGGAGCACCCACGAACATGTCAGATGGCAGGACCTCGAAAAAGCCGTCACCAAAAGCTTGTAAGGCCCTCTGTGACGTATACAGAAGAGCTGCCTTACAACATAAGCGGACATATTCTGCACGATTGTCAGCAGTGACTTCAAGGTCATCTCCACCTGGAACAAGCTCTTTTCCACCATAGGAGAAAGTGAGCCACTGCAAATCTTCCTCCGGCATTTCGTAACGAACTCTCCACAGGCTATTTGCCATGGCTGGATCCATGGTGGCCAAATCTTCCAGCAGTTGATCATCTCCTGTGGGCGTCTGTTCCCACACAGGCAACGGAGCCAGCAGGACGGGTTCGGAACATCTCATCCAAACATCACCATCGCTCCAATGGAGTCGACCTTCCGACATCACGGCCGTCACCGTTTCACCATCGAAGGTCGCCTCTATGTGTTGACCTGAAACTGCGTGAGAACATGTGAGAACATGTGAAGCCTGCGTGAAGGCGCATTGAAGCCGATGTGACGCCGGGTGACCCTTTTGGCACACCATGATTGCAATCCAAAGATACCATATGACACCATTACGATCATTATGCATTCGGAAATCAATGGAAACAATTAGATCAATTAGGTGCTCAAAGAATGAGGCATGGGGAAAATTTTGTTGGCTTCAGCTCGCCTGAGACGCGAAGAGGAGTTTCTGGCGGCAAGCCAACGTCGTCCTTTGCTGAAAATCAGGGCTGAACATCATGTCCCCCATTGAACCCACAGTGATGAGTCATGACGTTATTCATCATTATTCAATAATAGTAGTATTCATAATGTTACAGTGTGATACAGTGCATATATATATATATATGTGTGTGTGTATTATACGTAGTTATATATGGATATATTTCTATATTGTATGATCAAACCATGTCAACCACTCGGACTGTGCAAGAAAAGCAAGCTCATCAAAGCACTGGAAGGGTCGCCGAGATTTACTCACTGCAGATTACTTTATAATATATAAAGTATAATATATTACTCACTCAGACTTACCGCAGCACTGTAAATTTATATAATCGATTATAAGTATAGTATGTATCAGTATTCATAGGTATTTGATGGTATTTGTAAGTACTCAATAGAAATAGACAAATAATTACTTAGCATATCCAAAGTTGATCATTATTGATCATTGATATTGTTGAATAATGTTGAATATGACCAAGAATCCATGTGGGACAACAGAACTGATCCAGAAATCGTCGCAATTCTGCTGCCGTCGCTCCCATCACGGCGCCATGAGCCCGCTGCCTCTTTCAGCAATGCAGGCAGGGCTGCTTGGGTCTCGGTGACGCGCATGAGCCAACGAAGAGCCCATGGGCTGAGCGCACAATCCAACACGCACTGCTGGTACAGGGCATATGCCAAGAAACGGCCAAGCCATCTGTACAAAGATTCCGAAGGAACATGGAAAGCGTGCAAGAGCATGTCCGTGGTGCTGTCAGGTTTTAAAAAACTTCCTGCAGATGTCATGTCAAAGAAAGCTTCGCTGCCCCACAAGGCATGTCCCACCTCCTGGACCCATGCTTTCGTCAGGCCACCATGATCAATGCCGGCATCATCTCCGGCAAATTCGATGCTGAAACCTTTCAACCATTCCTTGCCGCTTCTGGCTGTGGTCTTGGCAAAGGAAACTGCCAGCATCCGTTCCGCAGCTTTCAATCGACGCCGTGGATCAATATCACCACCAGCAAACGGAGCAGGAACCTGCAGTGATCGAGAGCTTGAAGGAGCTGCATGTCCAGGTACCCATCCGAATTTCTTCCTGAACTCCTCCAGTCTGGCACTGAAAACTGTCACTGCTTCTTTGTCTGCAGCTGTAGGCTTCTTACGGCCCTCAGTGCGAAAAAGCGCAGGCATTTTGATGCGAGGACTATCCTCTTGACCACGAAGGCTGATAAACTCTTCACTCGACTGCAACTTGTGCAGCAAGCCATCGTTTTCAAGGAAGGCGTTTTTGGTCAAAAGAGCATTGGGATCAAGGGCTGCCATCTCACCTGCAGCCGACAGGACCATAAGCTATGTCATGTCATCTCATCTCATGGCATGTTCTATCATTGAAGAGACGCATGGGACACATAGGCCCCAAAAACGTAAAATTGCAAAGGTGAGGGAGTGGGTCAGAAGTGAACCCTACAAGAGTGTCGGATGGGCTTGCGCCTTGCGCTATCTATTTTGCTTTTTTCTGGGATATTCACCAAAGTATACGCACTAACAGGATTGTGACCCACACCCATCTTGCAGAACCAGTTGACGGTAGTGCGTGTTCACATAGCTTTCAATCCACTGTCTCCCGAGGTCTCCGACTTCATAGGCCGCTGTCAGGGCAGGAATCAGCTCCTCAGGGGATAGGTGCCCATCCTTGTTCACATCCCAGTAGTCAAACCACACCTGACATAGCTCTGAAAGTCAGAATAGAAGTAGGATCATTGTCTCAACTCGCTGAGAGAAACGACTTCAAAATATGAATGAAACATATGAAACTACGAATATTTAAGTTGCAGTGTCCCGCCTCTGGATCAGCAAAAAGATCAGGGGACAGCCCCCAAATTTCACAGGCTTGTGCCTTAAACACCAGATCACCAAGCTCGTATGCTCTCCTCACGCAGCAAGCCGGTACCAAATGTCTGCTGCGACATACGAGGTGTTTGATTTACAGTAAGGCACAGTATGCCCTTTTTTCATGTACGAGGAGCTTCTTCATCAAAACAGACATCTATCATCATATATCTATCACCATGTCCATGTGTCATGCGTAATGTATGTCCCCCTGTCTGCATATGATTAGATATGCGCATGTGATTACATGGTTATAAAATGGATGATGTCTGTGTGTAGCTATAAATGTATATGATATCCACATATATCTACTGTATCTGTATCTGGTTATATTTTTGTGTGTAAAAAGTCTTTGCACCATTTTGGGCAGGCGATCGTGTTGGAGCGGCCAAGGAACTGCCCTTCATTGTTCTTTGCTTCGAGGTCTCCGTGGTGTGAATGCACTAAGCGCAACAGTTCAGCCGCTCGTCTAGTCTTCGGTCGCCCCAAAGCAATGCAATGAAGAACCGTCTGACCTGCGTGGCTGTGGATGACTGTTTCAAGGTAGTGGCAAACGCTGGGTACTTTTTAAGTTTTTCAGCCAAGCTCTGTTGATTCAAGAAACACCTACCCATGTTTGAAGCATCGCGCGCAGGATGGAATTTGTCCATCTGCGATCAGTTTTAAGTTTTAAGTACCTCTGCACAAAATCGCCCTAGGAAACCTTTCTACCAGTTCCTTATATGACTTATATGCTTTGGATGAGTTGCTAAGGCTTGTGAGGCTTGTGGACACAGATTGGAAACCCACAACCATGGCAGCACCGCCAGCACCTGAGTCATCCTTTGCTGTTGCCAGCTGCGGAAACTCGGCCAAGATATGCGCCAGAAGTGCCCAGCGGCCATTGCTGGCTGCTTTGAAGCAACGCCGCTGACTCGCCTCCATATGTCTCGACGTGGCCGGCCATTCCCCGACCACTCGAAATGACATGGCACAGAGGGTGGACTCATGGGCCATAGACGCCTGGACGGGGCTGCCGGCAGAGGCGCCGGCATAGGCAGCACCAAGGGGTTTGCCGACCACTTCAAAGAAACGGTCTCTGCCAGCGACATCCTCCTCACAGAAAGAAATATAAAGAAATCATCTAGAAATGGGGAATAAACTAATGGGAAAGACACCACATCGATAAAAATTAAACAATGGATTGCATGGACTGCATATTGGTTCAACATCCACTCCGAATCCCTTTTTCATTCTCGAAGTGGGCTGGTGACATCTTAGGGACCATTGGACACGCTTTTTCATGTTTTTCATGGTTTTTCTATTTCCTCTGAACATCTCTGAACTATTTTCCAGATGCGAAATATGCAGAGAGATGCCGTCGCATCATTTCCCATCCTCGTCCAACTCATGGAAGAGGAATGCAAAGCCTCCATGGCGCGCACCTGGCCTCAGCAACTTCTCTTCAGGACACACCCAACAAACGTAGCAAGCACCAGCAGCTGCCCACTTCTGGGCTGTGACTTTGTGGAACCTTCGGCTTTCCACCAATTTGGACGTCCATTCGGAACACCAAGGTTGGGCCGCAGAGAACTGCATGCCTGTGGAAGCAAACATAAGCAAACATAAGCAAACATAAGCATGACGGCCATACCAAACTAGTACAACTAGTTCAACTCTCATTTCTCTATCCGACTCTATCCACCCATGGCCCATGATTCCCATGATGTCTTGAAACATGGACACGAAGACCAGTTCTTGATGGGATGGTCACTGCGTTCGAAATGTACAAAACAAAGAACCAACACCATCCAACTGCAGGCTGCGGGGAACAAACTGAAACATCACTGACGGACGGATGATGACAGATGCCCAGGTGCAACCATTTGGGTGAAAAGCGATAGAGTTGGCACATACTACTTGAGGTCGTCCATCCTCTGATGGCTGCAAATAAACGAAGCCACCCACTTTCAATAAGTTCCACTCAGCTGCAGCGTCATCTTCCCTTTGGTCAATCATACTGAAAATCATCGGCCACTCAAGTTGGAGAGCGTACATCCATGCCACCATGATCCCTGGAATATCGGGAATCCTATTTGCTGCACGCACCTCGAGAGAAAGATTCACTGGAGCCACAGGAGACACTTGAACAGAAATGAATCGTTGTCCACCAGAATCTTCCATTGCAACCCCATTCTGGTGTAAGGCACTCCAGCATTGTCGTAAACTCGCTGACTTTTGAAAAAAACTTTCTCTCAGAGCCCAGTCTGCATCTTCCATATCCATATCATCACGGCGTCGCCCGGTGGCAGTGGCTCGGTTCAAGTCATGGGATTGCAGTCGGGTGCTGCGAATCTCGAACGGACCAAGGCCACTGGGGAAGGTGAAAGTACACGGCTCCACGATGTAATTGCTCTTTTCGGCCTCCTTCTTGCAGATTCCGCACACACGGAAGTCACAGCCAGCCGTACATTTGTGGTAAAAACCGCCTCTGTGGGACACTCTTTCCTGACAAACATCACAAGTATACCTAGAAAAGAGGCGCAGCTTCTTTCCTTCGGAAGTTGTCGCATGGCCTCTTGGACAAAGCATGGGCTTGGCTCAGCATTCAATGCCCATTTCCATGGCACAGTGTGGCACAATGTCGCAGTGTGCAGCGCAGCGTGCCAGATTGTCGCTGTCTGAATGAAACAATGTTTGCTGTGCCCTGGAGAGCCATGAGTGCTGAACCCCTTTGCGTACCAAATCCGGGTGGGAGACATGAGTGTCCATGTAAACTGCTCACTTTTGAATGCACCCTGAGTTATGCTCGCCCTTGCTATTCTGTCAGCTTGCTTCTGCTCTGGTTGAGTGGAAAATCCAGCTGAAGCCCAGCATTTCATAAAATTGGTTTCATGGCCATGCATCCCACAAACTGCGGTCAGCAAATCTCTACTATCGGACTGAAGGAAAAGAATGAGTTGAGTTAGTTACTAAATGTTACCTATACAAGTAATGGTTTGTGCTGCAATTCCTGCGCACATTTGAGGCTGCGGCCTGGCAGTTTTCTTTTCAGGCCGCAGCCATGACCTAGTCGTTTTGCGAGGTGAAATGCATCGCAACCGAGGAATGTTTGGAAACACCTGGGCATACCCTCTCAACTCGCATCAACTCGCTATTTTACTGGCAGGCCGACTCATTCAGCCGTGTTGAACGGAAGGCATTGTCACGGAAAGCAGCTTTTAACAAGCTGTGTCTAGAGTCATTGGCGGCCCACATGATGACTTGGCCAATCTTTTCCAGGGGGGTGAACAGGATGAAAATCGAAAGGAAATGCTACATATAAGATATTATAAGATCATACTTCAGGGTATAAGTACCAAAGTGTGTGGAAAATGGTACCCTGACGCTGGCCAATCAGGTGGGGAACTTTCGACGCATGACCACTGGAGGCCATCCTTCTAGCGAAGGGATTTACCCTTCAAAGCATATCGCTTTTCGCCCTGCACATGTTCAATCTCCAGCGATCCCTTGTCACTATAGCTTTCGCAGGAAGCTCCTTGTGGCAGGGCCTTGTGAATGCGAGACAACTCAGACTTGGCCCACTCCTGCATTTCAGGCGTCACAATGTCAGGAAAAACCATTGAGAGAGTCCGCTCCTTAACTTTGAAGCGGCTATCAGCTATCGCCATGACCGCTTCGACTATGCACATCTCAAGGGGAGCATGTCACTGTCACACAATTAACCCTTCAACGATGCCTGGTTCTCCAAACAAATGGTCTCAGTAAGTAGCCCCCATTTTAATCCATTTTAGCAGGACTCTTCTTTATCTTCTTTCAAACCGGGTCCTTGCCGAAAAATGGGAGCGACAGTGAGCGAAGTGACACCATCCGCGCAAGGCAGGGAGCAATGGAACTCGCGTTGAGAGCCTGCAACTCATGAGATCGGGACACAGAAAGTGCCCCAGTGAGACATAAAAATCATAAAAGATAGGGGCTGTTCGCACACCAAGTAGCTTTAACACCCATAAAATATCATAAAATCCCATAAGTAGCTCTTATATGCTCTTATGTGCTCTTATAGCATTGTAGCCTTGCATGCTGACCCACTGCACCGGCCTGTTTGGGCGCCTTGGAGCACATGGGAAGCACATGGGAAGCACATGGGAAGCACATGGGAAGCACATGGGAAGCACATGGGCAGGAGCATGGCTGAATTCCATCAAAATCATCAAATTTAAGGGTGTGCCAAGGTCCAAGCCTGCCGGAGGTCGAGGTCTTGGAAGAACTTTGAGAAGCTCGGGGTCGATAGAAGGCCATTCAAATGGCGGACCTGGCCGAAACTGTGAACAAGACTGCTACAGTCTGCCACAAATGGAAGAAGAAGGAATCCGTCCACAATTTGACATGTAAAGCAAAAACATTCATGAATCATTGAATGAATCATGCATGAATCATGCAATCCCATTGTTTGTTCTCAATTGCTGCCATATACTGCCATACTTGCCTGCGTCTCAAGGTTTGCATTCAGCCAGCGTCCTGGCCGGAAGTCTCACCGGGGAATTCAAGGTCCAGACTTGCGAGCAACTGCAGATAACTGCAGCCCCATCAGCCCCATTAGCCCCATTAGCCCCATTTTCGTCTCACATGTTCCTGTTTTGATCTCGACGCATTAGAAAAACATAGAAAGACGTTTTTTGTTTTTTCCTATAAGCACTTTGTTCACCTTCTTGTCGGAAAAGAGTCTTGTCCTGACCGACTTCTTCTTCTTCCATGCAGGAAATCGGCAGCGTAAACGAATCCGCTCAATCGCAGCCTCAAAAAAATGGCAAACAAATCAAACCTGCAGATGCTGAGCAATGCATTCTCGCCAGCTCAAAACCCAAAATCCTGAAGAGATTACATGCGTAGTTTTGATTTTTTGGTCATATCATATCTGCCTAAAGAACTGCTTCTCTATCTTCCCTTTTGAGTGGATCAAATGGATGCAGCACAAAGACGGCCTGAGATTCACGTTGGAGGCTTCAAAGCAATTGATGGACACCCTGCGGCAGTACATCACCTGACGCGGGCGTCTTTCGTCACGAGCAACGCGCTCTGAAACAGCATAGACATGCATAGGCCGTAGGCAACAATCAATTTCATTATATCAATATTATATATATATATTGCATATCATATGTACAAATATGCAACGTCAATTGCCATCAATTACGATTATATAATTACAAATTACGTGTGTACAAACTCCCTCTCCATCTCTCTGTGACTTCGGCATGGCACTGAAGGTGAGCCAAAGACTTAAAAATCTTTAAGCAGTTGTTTCATGTTGTTTCAAGCAGTTTTGTCTTGTGGTTGCAGTATGTTGTGGTTCTATTTGTATCTATTTGTAGATTACTCCCTGCCGATCCAAGTTGGTCGCCTGTCTCAACGACAGAAATGGCAGAACTTGTGGAAGTACTGCGCTCCCCTGATCCGTGAAAAGCGGCGACGTAATCACTCCTTTGTCCTGGCCAGACTAAGCACAATGGACTCAGGTAGGTCATAGGTGTCTTGGGAGAGACCTATCAAACTGGGGTGCAAACATTCTAAATCTATTTAACCATGTTGTTTATGTAATCATGATTAATCTGTTTAATTAATCAATCGATTGGGTCTATTTCTTTCATGTTCTTTCCCTGTGACTTTATATATGATCATGCTGTGGCCTTGCACTCACAAATATGCGCCAAGCCAAGCAGAGGAAGTTCATCGTCCAAACAAATAGATTCAAATAGTGGATGTTGACATGTGATGATTCAAAAGCGTTGGATTAGTCGCTTACTTACTTATTTACATAGGCAAACAGGCAAATAGAATCAAATGGATAGACGCATAGATTCATTCTTCTATTTCGTTTGACTGTGGTGGGTACGAATGTGCAAAGCTCATACCATAACGGCAGGAGCTTTTTCGGTTCCATAAATGTCCAAATGCCAGAGTTGTTTTTTGTCTGCGCCCTCCGTGCGGACAAATCTGCTAGAGTTGGTTTGGTGGGACCTACAGTATGTCTTCACATGTTCAGTCTATGTATACAGGTAGAGCACACACGAACTGGATCGAAAACTGTCCTCATCAACATGAATGTGGTATGTCCTGCTGTTTCTTCTTGTCAACCACCACCTTCACGGCTGTGTCCTCCAAAGTTTGGGACGAAAGTGACGAAACAAAAGTACAAACCAAATCAGGAGCGTGATGAAGAAAAGAGGAGAAAGAAAAATACTGTGGAGTCAGCATTGGACAACATGAGTTCACCGAAGAAGCACGAGATGATAGGATAAGCAATCAGATCAGTCACTCGCGTGGATCGCTTACAAGAGCAACAGGTTGACAACTATTTGACTCTATGGGGAAATCCAAATGCATTAAGAATAAATAAGAATATATAATGGGATTGGACTTTAATAGGATTGGTTTTGCCATGAACCCCTTCTGTGTGCATTTTCCACCCTTTCCATCTCTCCGAATCTCTCTGAATCTCTCCCGCTGTTTTGCCTTCAACCTTTGAGCACCATTCAGGAAACTGAAGACGTAGGTCCGCAACCTGGTCACCACAGCTGGAGGAGCCTCCTGTCATTAAGCATCAGCGTCATGAAGTGTCAGGGTGCACTGAATTGTGCCGGGTAAACTTGAGATGTTGCGACAACTGACAACCTGAGAGTGCCAGTGATTCAAACAACAGAGAGCTATCTACGTATCTTTCGTACATGCATTTGCCACTTTCCACATTTTCTTTGAGTTATCAATTGCCACCATCACCTCCTACCAAGCGTACTATAAAAGGTAGTACTATAGTAGAACTAAATAGCCAAATAGCGCAGAAAAACGGATGAACGTACGAGTTGGCACATAATTCGCACGTTGCACCCTGAAACATCCACGCTGGGTGTCCTCAAGGTGGGACACGACCTCCTCTGCAGACATGCTGAGCTGGTCCAGCCCAATGAGTTTCTGCAACTCGTTGCCCACCTGCACTGCTGTTCAAGTTCCAAGGGGATATCTTGGAACTTGGTGAGGCTGTCACTTGCGACCCCGAAGATTTGTCACTTGCGACTCCGCGTCACTTACATCTCATATATGTCACTTGCGACTCGAAGAATCGATCACTTGCCGCTGGAGCCTTTGGGTTCCAAACAAGGAAAGGTGGGATGGGGTATGATGGTAACGTTCCCCGGCACTTGCAAACCAAGAATGACACACAAACACTGGCACACATACAGGTTAATGCTTAACGTTGCAAACCAAGCATGGCTCTTATATACTGGCACAAATACGCAGTGAACAAGGGGTGAGGTGGGGTGGGATGTTAACGTTCCCTGGCTGCATGAAAGCATTGAAGCGGTGCACAACACAACAACTGTACTTTATTTCCCCACATCCCAAGTAAAATAATTTCACAAAAACCAATGCAATGGTTTCACGTTGCTCTGTGTCACAGAACCTGAGACGGCAAAAGAACATCGCTGTCGCCATGCACGAAAAATTGGAGGGGTAAAGGAGTGTCTGCCCGATCTTGTACCTCGTTATACCACATCAATCCGAAAAATACTATACACATGGTAGTGTAATATAGTGTATGCGGAAGTCTGCAGGGGCATCATTGCCATAGACCCACTATGTTAACAAAAAGTACAGTACTCTTGACACAGCATATAGTTCCAGTGAAAAAAAACAGTTCTGCATCTGCTAAAGACCGTAGCACCATGCTATCACAAACATACAAGACTCACTCTCAGTTCCAATTCGCGCGCTTTTCAAGTAGGTTTCGACGCTAAGCCTACTTTTCCATGAGCACCAAGGAACGTTTACTCGCACTATAGGATACATGGGGTGAGAAGATTTGAAGTTGTTGCAATGTCAGGTTGAGTGAATGCCAGGTTGAGGCAACCTGATCTGAGGTCGTGTGAGATTGAGGTAGTGCGAGGTTAAGGTAATGTGAGGTTCGGGTAAGGGGTGATGCTGAGGTAGTGTGAGGCTAAGGTGATGTGAGATTGAGGATATGTGAGGTAATGTGAGAGGTGGTGAATGTGAGGTTGAGTAATGCTAGGTTAAGGTAATGTATGTGAGGTTGAGGCAACATGAGGTTGAGGCACTGTGAGGTTGAGGCAACCTGAGGTTGGGGTAATGTGAGTTTGAGGTAATGTGAGGAGTGCTACTGTTCACTTTCCGTCACTGGGAGTATCTCTAGGATTTTTCTTTGATTAATTTGCCTAATCAGATAGTGTGCAAACGTGTGGGCGCGTAATGCAATCATATGCAAAAACATCATTCATGATGGCGCTGCATTGGGCGCAGGGCCTTCGAGTCTACTTTCTGGAGAGCCCCACCGACTGACGCAATGAGCTCGCGCTCTCGCCGAGCCAGACGCGTCTTCCTCGGGTTGATCAAAGATCCAGGTATCGCAGCCACGTAACAATGGGTGCCACACCAAAACGGGGTATATCATTGATATGCATATAAGAGAGAGAGAGAGATATATATATATATACATATATATATATCACGATATATCATGACATGATATATTGGATATACCATATGGGGATATATCGGGATATGCCGAGATCCAGTCTGCCGATGTACATATGCTGCTTGCCAAGATATTGCTAAGGTATGCTAAGGTATTGTCAAGGTATTCTACTTTAAGATCATAGGTTCAGCATGGCCCAGGGTAAAGCACATCTCAAGTTCTGCAAGCATCTCATATTCCACAGTGCCGGTGGCGTCTTTCTTGAAGTTATCTAGGGCTTTGTCGAGCTCCTGGAGCTATCCAGCTACCCAGCTACCCACCATCTCGAGGACAGTGTCGACAGGTCTCACACTTGGCGTTTCAGTGTCCCACTCGGGTGTTTCTAAATGCGTGACTCTGCGTGACTTGGTGTCAGGAGCGATGTCTGTCCTTCTGTTTCCAATGCTTGCAGCGTGCAAGCAAGTCCGCAAGCTCTTGCCATTGCTTCAGGGCAATCCTTGGCATTAGGAGAAAAAAAACGTCAGCCTGGTCAGCAACAAATTCTTGGGGTATGGATTTGCTTACGGGGCAGTTCCTCAAAGGCAATCACTGAAAAAGGCGCAGCCTGGTCAAATACTTGTCGTGTTCTCTTTACAGCAATCTAAGGATATCTCTGATTTCATAATGGTTTCTAAGGAAGTACAGGAACCCTCTCGAATATCTCTGCATGAAATACAGGTCACAGGTGTGTCATCTTTGCAACCAAGGTTCCGGTAGTTGCTTGTATACACCGTACCTCAGCATGGCAATGGTCGAGGGTGAAGATACCACCTTGTCGTGCGACCTCTTCCACCTTTGCGCTCATCTTTTGACAAGCTCTGGGCGTAGCTTTATGATCTTTATGACTCCCAATGTGTATTGTTCCCTGCTTTTTCTTTGCTCTCAATTCTCCACCGAAACTCAACCCTTACCTAGTATCAAGCACTTCCCCAGTCGCTACTTCCTCTGCCACCACTCCTGCAATCCTATTCCAATTTGATCCAATTTGTACCCCAACCGGCCCCCATCGCATATTTCAAAGCTGATCACCATGGTCATTCTCTTCATTACCAATTTACTTGGACCAAGTCTACTCAGTCTATCCTTCCCAAGCCTTCCCTTACCAAGAGCCGAAGTTACTGATTCGCTTTTTGTTGCACGAGAGCAATGAGACGAAGGTGAGCTCCAGGCTTGGGCTGTTCACAAACGCCTCACACCATGCACTGACCTCTTGCTTCGTTCGGCTGAAGGTGGCTTAGCCCAACGAGTCGTTTGAGCAATGAGCAATATATATTGACATATATCATGATATATGATGATATATGACAATATATGTGTACCTACTTGTAGCATCTTGTAGAAAGATCTGAGATCGATTCACTGCCTCACCTCCTGGGCCATGGCCGAATGGCCAAGGCCATTTTTGGCCAAGTCACATCAGCCACCTCCCGCAGCGTGATGGGCGGAAGGCTCTCGGGCTCGGAGTTCTTGCGCCTCTTTTTTTTTTTGTGATGTGGGGCGTGACCCCTTTACGCGGCGCAACGAGGAGCAAAAAAAATTGTGTTCTTGTGATTTCTTGTGCCTCTTTTCAAATCGATCCTCGACGGACTTCTTCATGGCACACAATGTCCTGTGCAGAAGTACGGGCAGCTTCTAACTGGTCCGACTTGGGGTTCGAGTTCAGGTTCGGCCTGTGGGGAAGGGGGAGTTCGGGCTCGGGCTCGGGCTCGGCTTCAATCCATCCATTCCCATCCATGGCCACTCATTCCATCCGTTCCATCCATCCATCCACCCACCCATCCATCCATGCGCTCCATTCCCTGCATTCCATCCATCCATTCATCCAGTCATCCGTCCATTCCCGCCCATTCCCATCCATTCATCAGCTCCTGTCCATGTCAATTCCCATCCATCCCCATCCATCCCCATTCAAACCCATCCATCCCCATCCATCCCCATTCATCCCCAGCCCAGGCGGGGTGAGGGGCGAGGTCGACTTCGGGTTCAACGGGGGCTCATGATGGTCCTGTGCCATTCCACAGCTTGTGGGTAGCTGAAGGTCCAGCTTGTCTCCACCTTAGGGTACCATCAGGACCATGGGTAGAAGATGGTAGAAGTGTGCAACTTTGGAAACAAGTCAAAAGATGTCAAAAGTCACCTTGAAGTCGCGCCACATATATTTCACCTGGCGTTGGGAGGCTGCAAATTCAACTTGGAACATCATGCACCTGCACTGCACACCTGTCACAAACTTGGAAGTATAGAGCCAAAGCGGCAATAGAATTTGAAAAAAAAACGCTCAATAAAATGAACAAAACTTGTTTTTCCATGTTTTCCATGTTTTTCCTGACTGGTCCTTTGAAATGTAGATGCGGGTTCATTAAGGCCGTCTTGGATGCGCAACATCATTGTAGTATACTTGTCCTCTGACTCTGGCCACAACATGCTGTGGCCTGATATGCGCGGTACCCCTGCAAGGTCTTCACCGCCATATTGACGGGCGTCTTTGCAGGCTGGCGGTCTGAGCGCGACATTGGACAGAGAAGTGCGTTAATTTATTGAATTTATGATCATTTTCAACTGGTCAATTAACCGCTCAAAGGTCAGTCCCTCCCAATGGCATCAGCATCTTTGCATATCTTTGCATTTTACCTTCCCTTACCTTTGAAAGACTTGTTGCGTTGTCTGAAGGCACAACGGACAAAGACCCATGATGACCCATGCTCCCCTGGCCATGCCTTGCGCATGAAAACCCTGGATAAGGCCTTGGCTTTTCTTAGCAGCGGGGGCCATGGGACAAATTTGAAACTTCCCAGTGAGAAACTTCTGAGCTACACTCTTCAAACATTGAAACTTCTGAATGAGAAACTTCAGAGTTACACACGTTCTTCTTCTCCTTCTTTCATATCTTCTTGGTTCCTTCCTTCCTCTTCTTCTTTTTCTTCACACTAACTTCTGTCTTCCGTCTTCTTTTTTTATCTTTTTGCTCCTGTTGCCTTTGCTGTGTTTGGGATTTTTTGGGTGGTTGTTGCCGTTGCTGGTGGTGATGGCGGTGGCGGTGGTGCTTCTGATTCTGTTGCTTCTGCCTGAACCTGGCGTTCTTCTTTTTAGTGTTGCTGTTGCTGCTGTTGCTGAGCAGTTTGTTGCTGGTGCTGGCGTTGGTGCTGGTGTTGGCGTTGCTGTTGCTGATCTTGGTACTCTTGGTGTCATTGTTCTTGAGCCTTGTTGCTCTTGTTGGTCCGTTGGTACTATTGTTGATGCTGGTTCTGTGTGGGACATCGCCTCATTTGACCCCTAAGAAGTTGATTTAGGTGCTTTATCTTGTGTTTGGGACATCGCCCAATGCCGGTAGGCACCTTCCCGGTAAAATGCCTGTAATTCCACCAGAAAACAAATCCAATATACTCCAATCTTAAACTATTGTGAGCTAAAGCATCACTCTCTGTTTGCGTGCATGCTTGCACTGGGATAATGGAAGGCGACTTCCCGCAGTAAAGTTCAAGACAGCTCCACTTGGCATGCAATTCTCACCCTCCACCCTGCGTCTTTTTTCAGGATGGTGTCGTGGCCTGTTGCATCCATCGGCCAAGTCAGCCATGCCCAGCTGTTTCACATCAGCTGCAATCAACTGCGCAGGACTTGTACCCTGTGCAAATTTAATGTACCCAAGGGCGTGGGTGGGCGGGACATTTTAAAATCCCTCAGGGGCTGCCTGTTGAGCCTCTAGCTACAACAGGTACCCACTCTCCACCCTTAACTGCTTCGTTTCTCTGTCTAGCAGTTTGGTTCAAACTTTCAAGACAGCTCCACTTGGCATACAATTCCCACCCTCCACCCCACCCTGCGTCTTTTTTCAGGATGGTGTCGTGGCCTGTTGCATCCATCGGCCAAGTCAGCCATGCCCAGCTGTTTCACATCAGCTGCAATCAACTGCGCAGGACTTGTACCCTTTTTGACCTCGTCGCGCATCTTGTTCATGGCCAAGCACTTCTTACATTTTTCCATCGCCCAGGATGGATCTGTCACGAAGGATATTTGCGCTGTCCTCCGTGCAAATGCCCAGCCGCATGCGGACGTCCATTCTGCCATGGGTATGCTCCAATCTGCATTTGTGATCAGATGGAGGGGTGTTTTCGTCCTGCATCCGGTCGATTTGACCCAGAGAGAGGCTGCTTTCTTCCTGATCTTTCTCTCTTCACCTCCAGCACGACAGTCTCCACGTGTTTCATCTTTAATCACGGGCCGCACAACGATCCTTTCTTGCTTTCTTTCGTTGTTTTGGCACGTTGAGATGTTTCCCACCATCGCCCTGTTTGCAGGCGTTGTTTCCAAAGCTTCTTCTGCATATGACAGTACCACTGCCGATTTCCACCTGCCCAGGTAAGCTAACTCTTTGATATCAAGGCCCTCCCTGACGTAGGCCATAGCTCCTGAACGTCTGGCAGAATGACCTGAAATGTTTTCTGCCAGCAGCGTCTTCCAACTTGATATCATCTCCGCTTTTGTCGGTCATTTTCCGTTTTGATTCGGAAATACTGGCCCTCCATCTTGTGCATGTCGGATGTTTTTCAAAGCCAGTAGTTCCTGCGTCAAGAACCATGTGCAGCCCCTCCAGCAAGGCTTGAGCCCGCAGCATTGCAAGGTCCTCGCCACACCTAACCCTTTCTGGTCAGTTTTTGAGCTAGGTATGTAGAGTCTCACTGTTTTCCTGGCCACATTCCAGGAGATGTGTTCCCAACACACCTTCGACAGCTCCACCTCTCTTAACATCCATGCTAAGCCCCATGCATATGCCCATGTAGCTCTTGAAACTGCCACTTCGTTTGTCATCTTCCACGCCTCCAAGACGACATCCTCCAGCTGAAATTCCATCGCTCTTTTTACAGGGCCTCTTTCTCTGACCACTGATTTCTTACACAGCTGGAAAGTCCTGGCAAGCCATTGTTCCAAATGGAACCCTGACTCAATGTGCAGCAACTTCAATTCGTTCAGGTATTGATCGGCGGATGCCAGACCTGCCGCTTTCAATGCCGCGGCCACCGCTTCCACCACCTCCTTGCTTAAGGGATCTTAAGGGCAGGAATTGATTTTGTCCTGCCACCGTCCTAGCCAAGGTGGTCACCTCCTCCCTTCTTGACATCTTCACCGCCAGTGTGCTCTTTGCCCAGTAGCCCTTGTTGAGCTCCTGCACTGCTGCCTGCAGCTTGATTTTGCATGAGGCCACCTCCAAGGCTCTTGCAAAGGATCCACGTTCCTGGCGGCGATTTTCCAAGGGAGTGTCTGCAGCGTCCATGATGCCTTTCAATCGCGCCCTTTCCGCCTTTCCCTCTTGGCGCTGCTTGAATTTTCCCCCCCATTAGGATGGCTGTTGTTGCTGCTATGCCCCCGTGCCCGGGCCCCCAGGGCGATAACTTGATTCTGCCCAAAATGCTGTCATTTGAGCCTTTTCCAAATCTTTCAATATTGGTCTTGCCCTGCACGCCATTGCCCTTACCAACTCCGGGCTTCCCAATTGTCTTGGATGGGAAGAATAGACGCATTGCCTGTCCTTTGTAGGGGTCCTGCATCTCCTCGGAGTTGTTGCACTCGTTGGGGACCGCTCCCTTCGGATCGGCGAAGTCCCTCTGTGAGGATTTTCCCCATCTCTTTCCCTTGCCCTGCAGGAAGTCCGTGAAACTTGTCCGCACGCCATGATCTCCTTGACTGCGCAGCGCGTGCTGTAGACCAGACACTGGAGGCACGCGCACCATGCCACACAAAGGCTGATGCCCAGGAAGCCCCAGCCGATCAGCACAAAAGTGAGTGCCCATGGCCATGGCTCAGCGTCCTTGACGTTCCAGTCGATCAGGGGGGCGTGCATGGTGCACAAAACAGTTTGAGCCTGAAAATTTCTCTGAGCATGGAAAGTTTACTGCAACACCTGTGAAAACCCCACAAGGTGACATGCCCAACTCAGTCAAACGGTTGAAATGATTTACAAAACCTGAGAAAAACCTACCTTGACGAACATTGTCCATGGCTGCCAAAGGGAGTGCCCTTTGTTTTGATCAGCCACGGTCGTCAAAGGTGCTCAAATGCTCGGAGCACAGAGCTGTTCTCTGCGCCCCACAGGCGCGGTGCCACGCCAGGCGGCGGCAAATCTGATCTGCGCCGCATCTCGCCATCGAAGCGGTGGATCTTGATGCCCTTCAGTTTCACCGGCATCTCCTCCGCTCTCCCATGAGGTCGTGACAACCAGTCGGCTTCCACATTGAGCTGGCCCGCCATGGTGGTGCACAACGATCCTCGGCACATTCATGACTTCCAATTTCAAAGCCAGCTCCGCCCCGATCCAGTTCAGTGTCGGCGATGGAGAGCTCAGCCTTGAAGTCATTGCCAGTGCCGCGGTGGAGTCCGACCTGATCAACAAAGGCATATATTTCAGCCTTCTTTTCCAAAATCTGACGGCCAATAATATGGCCCAGCCTTCCATAGCGCTCTGAGAAGCCGCGGCTGCCCACTCAACTCCCAGCCAGTCCGTGTCCTCCTTTCTGAGTGGCACTTCCAATGCCGCCCAAGGTTCCTTCTGGTTCTTCAGGACGTCCACGCGACATAAAATGGCACCAATGCCCTGAGGAGATGCATCTGTCACGATGGCCAGCTCTGGTGTGATAGGGTACCAAGGTTCTGTTCTGAGCAGAAGTTCATCTGCCCGGCTGAAGAGATGGACCAGCCACGTCCTCGGCAGCTCAAGCGCATGACTGCCACCAAGTTCTCCTTCAGCCGTTGATCCTTGGCCCTTTTTGCTGCTCGTTCAGCCTCTGCACCAGACTGTGCATCTTTCTCCGCTGCGGCCACCACTGCATACATTATGGTCACGGCCCAGCGCGTGCGCGGGAGTATGCCCGCCATCCATGACAGGCGGCCCGTAGTGGACCGTAACTCCCGGAGCCCAATCATTCCGACTCCTCCCCAGCTCTTCAACTTGGTCAGGAGTTCTTGGATCATCTTCTGGGACACCGTCGAGTTCGAACACCACTCCTATCCAAGTGACCCGCAATCCCCTTTCTCCCTTGCCATACGCTACATTCACCCCAAACGCATAAGGAGTGTGTACAGGATCATTGCCAGCATCCTGTTGCGTCTGGGTTTTGGCCCTGACAGGAGAAAGAGGGGGTCGTCCATGTAGGTTTGAAGACAGCCTTTGCCCTTCACAAAGAGGCTCTGCAGCAGTCGGGAAATCAGTGCCGACAGTCTGGCCATGAGCAATGGCGCGGCCTTGAAGCCGAAGAGCAACGCCGTGTAGATGATGAATTCACCTACACGCAGTTTGATACTTCCTCTTTTGCCACCGGAAAGTGGCAGAAGGCATCTTGCAGATCTGCCCCGACGAGTTCCCACTCGCTCATCTGTTGCTGGTCCTCTGTCGCCCAGCCTTCCTTTTGCGCCAGGGCGACAAACGCCTCATGGTGCTTGTAAAGCCGCCTCGCCGCCTCCAGCACGTCAATGACCCGCGGCAGTACCAAGCGTTCTGTCACGGTGGCCCTGGCATTGCCGCCGCTGCGCAACATGTCCACACCGAGCCTGTTCTTGACTCTTCCATCATCCTTCTGCTTCTGTATGAGCGCCATGCGGCTTATGGTGCCAGAGCCAAATCGCTCTCGCAACCATTGTCCATCTCGGATCACCGCAAAGCCCTTCTAGACGTAGCGCCTGATCTCCTCCTCCGCAGCTTCAAGTAGATCATACACACTGGCGTAGTTGCGAGTGCCCTGCATGAGGTCCCAGGCCTGAGCTTCACCCATGACAGCTTCTTCTTCCGGAAGTTTGGGAAAGATACCACACGCTGGTACCTTAAGGTTCATACCCAGCGGTACTCCTTTTCTGGCCCAGTCCACCACATGACATTCTGGGCCTCCCGATGCCTTGATCCACGCCTGCAGCAACTTCGTGTTCAGGGGCGCGTTGAACTCGAAGTCTTCCTTCACCACCACATCTTCGAAGTCTTTGACTTTGAGCATCCTCTCCAACACCTGAGTCCACTTCTCTCCCACTGCCCTGTTTGGTTCACAGTTGCCACCGCCATACGTCTCAGCGATGTCAATGGCTTCAGGGTTCTGCTCCAAGAAGTGGTTCCAGGCCCTTCCAATGTCAGCTCCAATCTGTCTGACCATGTGCATCTTCGCCACCGCAAGGTCTGGGTCACGCATGCCACCCAGATAAAATTCATTCTCCTTTTCCCGGGTTGCCCTCTTTGAGGATGTACTGCTGCTCGGCAATGTCTCCCTGTTGGCATCTCCAACACTCCAGGCCTTGGTGGCTCCAATTCCTTGACTTCCCTGAGACACCGGTGCAGGGGTTTTGACCTCCCTGCTCTTAACCCAGTTCATCTGCAACTTGCTCAACTCCATTGACTTCGTCTGAAGCTTGTATCTCCAGAATTCAAGTTGCACGTTCTGCTTGAAGACCTTCACCACCAGTATTTCCTTGCCAGTCTTGCCGGATATTCTGCCGCCGACGACGTCTTCTGCTTTCCAACCAGCTGCACATGGGACACCCAAGATGGGCATTGACATTTTCCTGCCAGCGTCTCCAGGTCTTGCAACCTCCCGGACCACCTCGCTGGCTTCCACCATCTCTGTTTTCCCTCCATGTGGATGCAGCTGTTGAACTCTGCTGTCTGGGCCTTAGTTTTCCAGGAATTCCTTCAGCTCGGCAAGCTCCCATGAAGGAATGTCGGGCCCAGTCTCCCTGCCTGGCGGGTTCTCCAAGGTGGCAACCTCTCCCACCTTGTGAGCTCTCTGACTGTCTAAGATCTTACCCGCCAGTATGGTGGAGCGCACTGCCAAAACCGTCCCAAGATCAGCTTCTCGTTGTTGAGCATCATTGTTGCTCGGCAATCCATAAGGCCACCCTCTTGACCTTACAGGCGGTGGCCCCCCTTCTCTGCTCCTTACTGCCGAGAAGCTCGAACAAGGGAAACCGCTGTGGTAGCCGTCAATCTCCTCAGCAGTGTCCACTAGATCTACATAGGGATGTTCTGCAGAAAGGTCATGTCCAACTGAATCCAACTTGTCGTACGACTCCACGGCCACCCTGATGCCTTCTTTCTTGGCTTCCGTCTCCAAGGCTTCCTTTAGCACGTCCCTGGGTCCACTAAAGAGGTGCACAAATCGGAACACCCTTTCCGACCGGTACTTGGCATAGTCTGGCTGGTCCTTCAGAAGCGCCAGTGCCCGAGGATTCCACTCCTCCTGAAGTATCGACACCTCATCAGGGTCCCAGTCCGGTTCCTCCGACACGTCCATGGCGCGCCGTGGTTTGAACCAGCTTGATGTCCTGCAGGTTGACAACATCTCAGATGATACCCGCTTCAAAATCAATGAGGTAAAATATGAATTCAAAATGTTTTCAAGTCTTAGAGGCCGTGCAATGTTGACATCAATCAGCACAAACCTAACCTGCCTACATCAAGTGCAAACACAAAAGAAAAATAATCAAGCAAAACGACATGTAACCGTCCCCCAAGTTGCAAAACATTTTCACAAGACTTTGAACATGGGTCATTAAATGTCCCCATTGAACATCACCCAACCATTAGGTATATGGTCTATAATGGCTACTATAAGGTGATGTCCAATATACCCAAAATGGGACAGTTACCAACCCCTGTTGAAACGTCTCCAGATCTCCCCAGGCGGTTTGCGCCTGGGCGTGAAGACATCTTCTTTCGAAACGATCCAGGTGCCTCACTTCTGAGGGCACCCATCATTCTTGTGGCCAGGCGACAGGCAGCGCTGGCACTTGTGAGCCCTCTTCACCCGGCCCTTGCATTCACCGCCGACCACAACGTCAGCGCAAGGCCCCTTGCCTTGAGCCCAGCTGAAACAAATTTCAGCTCCACCCTTGTCCTTCGAAATCCCTTTTCCACCTGCTTTTCCTCCAGCATGTCCATGACCGTCCTTTTGATGTCGAAGTTTGAGAAGCTCATCCCCCTCGTCCTGCAATCTTCTCTTCCTAGCCAACCTCTTATCTCGGTTGGACTGCTTCCTTCTTTCAGGTGCTTCCTCCTTCAGGGAGTTCACGACGTCTGTGCCCCCTGCTGGGTGGGGCGGCTATGATGTCTGAAGGCGCAACGGGAGCCCCTCTTCCGCCAGCTGCCAACAATGCACAAGCCGGATGACGTACCTGCTCTGACCAAAAGTTATCATCCTTTGCCAACAACTTGAAGCACACTGACCAAGGATTGTTTTCGTCCCAGTCTAACGGAATCGGTCTGCCCGCCTGCAGGTCGACAATGACACCTCTCCGCAACTTTTCAAGTCGCTCAGCTCTTCCCTTATCATCTGCAAGAGCTATGAGCCCCCACGCCTGTGGCCAATGAAGCGTGAGGCGTTCTATCAATTTCTCGTACTGCTGCAAGGCCGAGAGTGACACTATGCCCAGAGAGTGGCCGCAACTTTGAAGACTCGCCACGAAGCCAGCCACTGTTGCGGGTTTTGGGGCCCGGGCAACTCCTTCACCAAGTACGAGCCGTCCCCCAAAGGCACATATGTGCGGAACTTCTGACTCCACAAGGCTCTTCGACCAAAAGGTGTCCATACTGAAAAATCGCAATAGGGCGCCTGCTTCAAAACGACGGTGCGCTTGTACAGCGCTGCCAGTTTCGCATCCGTAGCTTCTTCTTCTTCTTCAGGCGTTGACCCCATAGTAGTCACGTATCGTTGAACCCATTCCTGCACCTTGTCCATGGGAGCTGGAACAAGTTCACTCTCATCAGATTGATCCAGCAACGATGCCATCTTCAGCACGTGCTCTTTCACCCCTGATGACCTTGTCGGTGGGTCTGGTACTGCAGGAGGTCCTTGATTCTGGTTTCCCTGGTTCCGTGGGTTGTCCCAAGGTTCCGTGTCTACAAAGTCCTCCTCGTTTCCTCCATTCTTCAGGAAGACTGTCTTCCTTGCAACTCGCCAGACCAATCCCACCTGTGTAGCGTTGATGGGATGGAAGGCAGTTCCATCTGCTAAGGTGGCAGCAGCACATGCCTGCGCCACGACAAAGGCCGGCACAGAGGCCAGGTGCTGCACGTTGGTGCCTGGGTCACCAACTTGTTGAATGAACCCCGCCCAAACTGGGGCGGGGATTCCCACCAGCCGTTTGAGGCCCTCCAAGTCGTCCGTGGCCAACAAATCGGCAGCCCGAGGGAGCATCAGCGCAAACGCGAGTTGCCTGACCTACATTTTAAAATCCCTCAGGGGCTGCCTGTTGAGCCTCTAGCTAAAACAGGTACCCACCCTCCACCCTTAACTGCTTCGTTTCTCTGTCTAGCAGTTTGGTTCAAACTTTCAAGACAGCTCCACTTGGCATACAATTCCCACCCTGCTCGACTTGAGGCCCAGGGGTAAAAGCTAGCCCGGCAGGGAGCCGGGCATGAAAATAAACAGTGAATAGATAGATAGATAGATTAGATTAGATTAGATTAGATTAGATTCGATTCGATTCGATTAGATTGATTAGATTAGATTAGATTAGATTAGATTGATTAGATTAGATTAGATAGATTAGATAGATTAGATAGATTAGATAGATTAGATAGATTAGATAGATTAGATAGATTAGATAGATTAGATAGATTAGATAGATTAGATAGATTAGATAGATTAGATAGATTAGATAGATAGATGATTAAAGATAGATGAAGATAAGATTAAGAAGTAGATTAGATAGCTTAAGCTAGGAGTAAGATAGATTAAGATAGATTAATAAAGATAGATAGATTAAGATAGATAGATTAAGATAGGTAGATTAAGATAGATAGAGTAAGGTAGATAGATTAAGATAGATAGATTAAGATAGATCGATTAAGATAGATAGATTAAGATAGGCAGATTAAGATAGATAGATTAAGATAGATAGATTAAGATAGATTAAGATAGATTAAGATAGATTAAGATAAATTAAGATAGATTAAGGTAGATTAAGATAGGTAAAGATAGTTTAAGATAGATTGTTTTTTATGTTTTTTTACCTTTCTGATACCTCCTACGTGAAAAGATGAAACATACAAAAGTATAAGGACCCTTGAGTCATGCGAAACTCTCTGAAATCAGAGCAGTGTGTCATGATGATTTGACGCATCGCGATGTACCTCGCTAGGAACATGATACAAAAAGGTCTGATGTCATGCGATCTGATCTGATGTGATGTCTCGGCTGTCTGATGCGATGTTGAAACCATACTGCTGCTATCAACTTGGATCGCTACGCCACGCCTTGTGGTGACAGCTGCAGTTTGCTGGCAATCTGCGCAGGGATGCCGCGCGGTTCATTTCGGAGATCGTAGCCAATGACATAGGGCTGCTGACGGTATTGCCTGCAGCAAGCCCACTTTTTGGAGATTTGTAACATGGAACCACGGCAGTCAACGACAAAAGAAAGACCAACGTCGTCTCGCGGGAGTTTTGCCCCGCCTCGCCAGCATCTGCAAAGATCGTAGCCAGTCAGCTTCTGAGTACTCCTGATTAGCTTGGCAGGCAAGGTCAGTATGAAGTAAGCTGGTCCCAAGCGGCTTCCCAATCTCGTCCTACAATTCAATCCCATGCCCATAGTATTCCCCTCTAGTGGCCCCCAAAAAAATGAATAGATACAGTACCAAAACAGGGTATACGACAAGAAATGTGGGATGGGATTAGCTGATTCACAATCAAGAGATCCAGCTGCGCTCATATCTGGCTCCTGACTGTACCAAAGGCCTTCGCCATCATCCTCGCTGCAGCACCACATGGCTTTGCCCTGCCAGACAAGTGGTGGGTCACTGCAGTCACCCCTGGAAACATTGAATAGTCATCCCAAAAGATGACAGATCGTTCAGGGTCTTGTTCAGTGACTCCGGGAAATTCTTGGGGGCTCAAATGGCCCTCTTGCTAGCCAGCTAACTGTTTTCGCAAATGTTGAGGGGATCAGCACATCACATTTTGTAGCCAATGATGGTGTGAGTCAGATGCAGCTGCAAAGCAATGCATAACTGCATGCTCATGTTCTAGGTTCACATGTCTTGCTGAAACGCTGGGTTGGTATGGACGGCGCTGAGGCTTCAAATTTGTCGATTCAAGGATCATCGTATCACTGCATCATCACGACGCGAGACATTGACCTTTGAAGTCAGTTCAACATGCTTCAACCAATCAAACAGATTTGCTTTAAACCTGACCTGGCTGCAACAGCCAGTGCAAAATTATAATTTTAAACAGCGCTTACCTGAAACCCATTAATGGTAAGCCTAGTCAAAGCCATGGTGATGCGGGCTGCCAAACCCTCAACCAGCTTCTTCTGAGAGCCAGCCCGACCCTACCTTGTCAACTGGGCCATTGAAGCAAGGGTCAGCGGCTGCTTCCCGACAAGTCTTGGTCTCTTAACTCGGAGCCATGCGAACGGCCGCAGAAAACGACAGGAGCGACAGGAAGCATCAAAGGATCAAAGGATCAAGGGACTTTGAGCCGAGTGCTTATCAAGGTTGGAATGCAGTTCCACACACACATCTCCACTATTATCCACTATGTTCCGTCCGCAGTGCGACTACAACGGCTGCATGTTTGGCGGTTTTGAGTGACTTGTTTTGAGTGACAACATCAGTTCCTTGCAAACAGTCCAAGCCTGCGGGAGCTGCAGGGAGCTGCAGGCTAGGACCCACAGTGCTGAACTAGTGTTTTGAGCCAATGAGAGCCGTGGCAATTCTGAGGCCAGAAATGCAGCAATCGCAGAGAGTCCAATCTGAGATTGAATATGATTGAACTAGGCTGCTATGGGTAACAATTTGTAACGATGCACCTGTCGATTTGAAAGAGAAGAAACATGTGAAAAACACTCATAAGAAGCATCTCACACAGCGAGCCTACCATGGCAGGAATAATGGGCCTCGGCTGTCAGACATCAAGTCCAAAAATCATGCAGGTGCACACTGCCTCGAAGATTCCGACAGCTGACAATGGCCGGGCTCAAGATGGCTCAAGTAAAAATGAATCAACTTGTGCTTACGTGGTGGTTTGGGTTGGTGGTTTGGGTTGGTGGTTTGGAAGTCTGGGAATTGATGGTTTTGTAAACTTAGAAAAAACAAAAAACTATCAAACCCTGCAAACAATGAAGTCGTTGAAAATAAAGAAAACAAATTTAAAACAACAATGATTACTACCAGATTAGGTTTGTTTTTGAATTGATATTCATCTTGTATCTCGGAAAATGTACACTTATTTAATGTCCAATAATTTCACGTGATTGTTTAATTGATTATTGAATTCTAGTGCATTTTTCTGTACTTGTCTATTTATTTTTGAAATGGGGGAAAGACAGTTTCTTGAAACCGTGTGGTCCTATCCTGTACTCTGACTGATGCAGGTTTCATGGATTTTCCATGGAGCTTCCATGCAGGTTTCATGTTGGTTACATGCTGGGTTTGCAAATTTAGCTTACTGGTGGGTAACCTCCATGACAACTCCCTGGAACCTGCATGGAATCTGCATGGAACCTCCATGGAACCTGCATCAGTCAGAGTGCATGATAAAACCAACAAGTGTAGATAGAGGCATCACCTCCATAACGCACATGGAAACTGCATGAAATTCTACATAATTCTCCATGGAACCTGCATGGAACCTCCATGAAAACTGCATCAGTTAGAAGGCGCCATGCAACCATCACGTTTAGACACAAGAAACAACGGAACCTACATGAAACCTCCATGAAACCTACATCAATTCTCCATGGAACCTGCGTGGATACTCCATCAAGGAAGACGCCATACAATCATCAGGTGTAGATACAGGGAACATGTTCGAGTTTTTTTTAATGGAAACTACATGGAAACCATCAGACGCTTTGATGCAAATCGATCGCAAATCGATCGTAACTAAATTGATCGCACAAAAACTGTTATAGCATCTGTGCGTTTTGATGTCGTTTTCACTAGGCCATCTGTCTTTGCTGATGTTTCTTTTGGTTTCTGTACTGGAAAAGTCAAATTCTTCCAGAATTTCTATTTATCCTGAGTGTTCGTTGCTTGGCGGTTTTGATGTTGGCAAGGCCAGGGTTTCAAGTGTGGACTTTGTAATGTGTCATTTTGATGTAGGATTTCGACGTTGTTTTGCGATCATTTTGCGATCCTTTGTCGATCGATTTGACATCGGCCTAAAAACGAATAAGAAGGCCATAAAACAACATCAATATGACATCGACAAGAACCTAAGGCCTGTAGAAAACGGCACTTGCCAATTCATATATTCATATGGTTTGGTGATCATAGAATCCAAGATGACATAAGTGAGTTCATTTCTCTTGGTGGTTTCGTCTTTTAATTAACTTAGTTTGCAATATTATATGTTAGGAACCTCCATCAAGTTGACACCGAGACAGACATAAAACTCCATCAAAATGACATCAAACAAAAATTCACATTTGAAACCTTGCCAAAATCGAAACCACCAAGCAGTGAACACTCAGGATAAATAGAAACTCTGGAAGAATTGACTTTTCCAGTGCAGAAACAAAAAGGACATCAACAAAGACAGATGACCTAGTGAAAACGACATCAAAATGCACAGATGCTACGACAGTTTTTGTGCGTTTTTTTACGATCAGTTTACGATCGATTTACGATCGATTTGCGATCAATTTGCGTCAAAGCGTCTGATGGTTTCCACGTAGTGTCCACAAAAAAAGTCTCTGTTCCCTGTATCTACACCTGGTGCTTGTATGGCGCTTCTTTGATGGAGTATCCATGCAGGTTCCATGGAGAATTGATGTAGGTTTCATGGAGGTTTCATGTAGGTTCCGTTGTTTCTTGTGTCTAAACGTGATGGTTGCATGGCGCCTTCTAACTGATGCAGTTTTCATGGAGGTTCCATGCAGGTTCCATGGAGAATTGATGTAGATTTCATGCAGTTTCCATGTGCGTTATGGAGGTGATGCCTCTATCTACACTTGTTGGTTTTACCATGCACTCTGCCTGATGCAGGTTCCATGGAGGTTCCATGCAGATTCCATGCAGGTTCGAGGGAGTTGTCATGGAGGTTACACACCAGAAAGCTAAATCAGCAAACCCAGCATGTAACCAACATGAAACCTGCATGGAAACTGCATGGAAACTCCATGGAAACTCCATGAAACCTGCATCAGTCAGAGTACTGTACAGGATAGGACCGCAATGGAATTTGTTTCAAGAGAAACTGTTTTTTTTTCTCTGCTTTGCTTTCATGTAGATTATTTAGATAGAATAGATAGGTAAGGTCACTTGGATAGAGTAGGCATATTAGATAGATCAGATAGAAAAGGTAGACTAGGTGGATTAGATAGATTAGACAGATTAATAGACAGACTTGAAAGATTAGAGAGGTTGGATTAGATTAGCTTAGATTAGATTAGATAAGATCAGAGAAGATTAGACTAGTTTGATAGACAAATAGACAAACAAATAAATAGATAGATTATGTAGATATATGAGATTGGTTGATAGATTGATAGATTGATAGATTGATAGATTGATAGATAGATATATAGACAGACAAACAAATAGATATATTGGATATGATATATTAGATAAGTAAATAGATCGACAGACAGACAAACAAACAGATAGACAGATACTTAGAAAGATAGATTAGATTAGATTAGATTAGATTAGATTTAGATTTAGATTTAGATTTAGATTTACGATTCAGATTTAGGATTTAGATTTAGGATTTAGATTTAGGATTTAGAATTAGGATTCAGAATTAGGATTTAGAATTAGGATTTAGAATTAGGATTTAGCATTAGGATTTAGAATTAGGATTTAGAATTAGGATTTAGAATTAGGATTTAGAATTAGGATTTAGAATTAGGATTTAGAATTAGGATTTAGAATTAGGATTAGAATTAGGATTTAGAATTAGGATTTAAAATTAGGATCTAGAATTAGGATTTAGAACTAGGATTTAGAACTAGGATTTAGAACTAGGATTTAGAATTAGGATTTAGAATTAGGATTTAGAATTAGGATTTAGAATTAGGATTTAGAATTAGGATTTAGAATTAGGATTTAGAATTAGGATTTAGAATTGGGATTTAGAATTAGGATTTAGAATTAGGATTTAGAATTAGGATTTAGAATTAGGATTTAGAATTAGGATTTAGCATTAGGATTTACCATTAGGATTTAGCATTAGGATTTAGCATTAGGATTTAGCATTAGGATTTAGCATTAGGATTTAGCATTAGGATTTAGGATTAGGATTTAGCATTAGGATTTAGCATTAGGATTTAGCATTAGGATTTAGCATTAGGATTTAGCATTAGGATTTAGCATTAGGGTTTAGCATTAGGATTTAGCATTAGGATTTAGCATTAGGATTTAGCATTAGGATTTAGCATTAGGATTTAGCATTAGGATTTAGCATTAGGATTTAGCATTAGGATTTAGCATTAGGATTTAGCATTAGGATTTAGCATTAGGATTTAGAATTAGGAATAGCCAGTAGGATTTAGAATTAGGATTTAGCATTAGAATTTAGGATTTAGAATTAGGATTTAGAATTAGGATTTAGAATTAGGATTTAGAATTAGGGATTTAGAATTAGGATTTAGAATTGGGGATTTAGAATTAGGATTTAGGATTTAGAATTAGGATTTAGAATTAGGATTTAGCATTAGGATTTAGAATTAGGATTTAGAATTAGGATTCAGAATTAGGATTTAGAATTAGGATTTAGAATTAGGATTTAGAATTAGGATTTAGAATTAGGATTTAGAATTAGGATTTAGCATTAGGATTTAGCATTAGGATTTAGCATTAGGAATTAGAATTAGGATTTAGAATTAGGATTTAGAATTAGGATTTAGAATTAGGATTTAGAATTAGGATTTAGAATTAAGATTTAGAATTAGGATTTAGAATTAGGATTTAGAATTAGGATTTAGAATTAGGATTTAGAATTAGGATTTAGAATTAGGATTTAGAATTAGGATTTAGAATTAGGATTTAGAATTAGGATTTAGAATTAGGATTTAGAATTAGGATTTAGATTTAGGATTTAGAATTAGGATTTAGAATTAGGATTTAGAATTAGGATTTAGATTTAGGATTTAGAATGAGGATTTAGAATTAGGATTTAGAATTAGGATTTAGAACTAGGATTTAGAATTAGGATTTAGAATTAGGATTTAGAATTAGGATTTAGAATTAGGATTTAGCATTAGGATTTAGAATTAGGATTTAGAATTAGGATTCAGAATTAGGATTCAGAATTAGGATTTAGAATTAGGATTTAGAATTAGGGATTAGAATTAGGGACTAGAATTAGGGATTAGAATTAGGGATTAGAATTAGGGATTAGAATTAGGGATTAGAATTAGGGATTAGAATTAGGGATTAGAATTAGGGATTAGGATTAGGGATTAGAATTAGGGATTAGAATTAGGGATTAGAATTAGGGATTAGGATTAGGGGTTAGGATTAGGGATTAGGATTAGGGATTAGGATTAGGGATTAGGATTAGGATTAGGGATTAGGATTAGGGATTAGGATTAGGGATTAGGATTAGGGATTAGGATTAGGGATTGGGATTAGGGATTGGGATTAGGGATTAGGATTAGGGATTAGGATTAGGGATGAGGGATTAGGATTAGGGATTAGGATTAGGGATTAGGGATTAGGATTAGGGATTAGGATTAGGGATTAGAATTAGGGATTAGGATTAGGGATTAGGATTAGGGATTAGGATTAGGGATTAGGATTAGGGATTAGGATTAGGCGTCATACTGGCATAGGCACCAAACCCCCACTGTCGCACTGCTATTACGTCACAACAAACATCGACCTATCTACTAAGGCCGCTGCCAATGGCTGTACAGATGCAGCTTTGAAGTTCGACTGCCACCCGCACAACTAGTGACTTTACAACTCCGCAATCAAGGCCTTTCTGTACAGTGAGAAGGGAAGGCATAGAAATGTAATCTGTACACAACGCATCCGTGTCCTATGCTCTTATGCTGAGGCCTCTGGGGTCCTAATATTAGAACGAATTCATTGTAGTATCCTCAATACCACAGCTCTTCAGACTTCCAGCGAAATTGTTGCGCCTTGGCAAACCTTCTGAAGTCTTCTCAAAATTTCGGAAGATAAAACGGATACAGCGTCTTGTGCGTTGTCATTTGCATGGCATAACCGTACAACCAGCATCAACCAGCTACATGGCGATGTAGCAAATGTCAGCATTTGAAACAGCAAGCAATTCTACTTGACCAATCAACTGTAACCTGCGTGCAAGTTCCTATTCTTTGAATCGCGGCCGCGATTCGCAGCCTCAAACCAGAACTTCCTTCAAGCGCCTGGGGCCCAACCCAAGGGGTCGACAAATCCACTGGTCACCAAACTGGGGAAAGACTCCCGTCGACCGCTCGACCGCTGGGCCTGGACTTGGATGCCAGTCGCTTCCCCAAGTAGTGGCCCATGGCCTGGGCTTCATGATGACGATGAAAAATGTTTACAGATCCTTTAAAGATGATCTAAAAATGATCTAAAAATGATTTTTAAAATGGTTTTAAAGATATACAGTCTTTAGAGATGATTTAACGACAACACAACAGAAGATGGTTTGTCCCCTGCCATGGTCGCCAGATTTCTCAGGTCCCGGCCATGATGGTCCCTTGCGGATTGACTCCTCAGCGATTAAAAAAACGGGGCGGAAACTGGTTCTCGACCGCCTGGAAAATGGGAGTGGTACCCGGCCTGGTTATTTAACATAGCCATGGAAAATCACCAGTTTTAATAGGTAAACCATCTATAAATGGACCAAACTAACAGTTTGCCATTGAAAATTGCCATTTATAGTGAGTTTTCCCATGCAAAATGGTGATTTTCCATAGATATGTTAGTTTACCAGAGGGTAAACACCAAAAAAAAGGGTTCGACCAACAAGAAATGAAGAAATGTACCACTGACATTCACTGAATGAACAATTCAATCAGCAATTCGTGGGGATTCTACCAAGAATGGAAGGGGCCTAAATCCAAGAAGTGGGAAACCTAACATGCTCCATACCGTGGCACGCCATCCTAAAGTCACTTACCTGAAATGGCTGGGATTTCAACCATTCCCAGTCCAAAAACGAAAGCGAGGTACGTGTCGGATTCGGGAAGATGGATGCATCAATCACCTCAGGGAAGGAGCACAGCGCCGTGGAAAATCCGGATACGTCGCCGCCAAGGGACGTGAAGATTCTCGGTTCCTTTCACGAGCAAATCCTCGCCGTCAACCACCTTGCCAAATGAAGCAGAACCAAAGTAGTGGTAGGACGACACCACGACATTGCGGAAGTGTTCCTGGGCCAAAAAATACTTCCGGAGGTGTCAGATGTTGAACTGTTGAACCCATGTTGAAATATCAGCTTGACCTTTTGAAACATCAGACCCTGCTCGGTGGTCATGGCTCATTTGACTTCCAAAGTCGTACCTTTTCATGGAAACTGAGTGTGCAAACCAAACAACTGTTCTAGACCTTGCGAAGTGAGTCAGTATGAGTCGTTTATTTTCCCCATGTAGGTGTACAACGACTTGAAACAGGCCCCAAGTCCGACCAGTCCGTTTCTTGCGAAGTAGACCATTAACTCGTGAATATGGCCCTCTGCCCTGGGTGACATGGTATCCAAGTTTGTCGACTTTGAGGCTCCAGATTTTGGTCACATTGCTATCTCCTTTAATAAATCCATGACAAGAAAGTATCGTCATCATCTCGCAAGAAATGGTCCATGGGCTTTCACACCTCAGATCAAATCCGAGATTCTTCGAGATCTTTTGTTGAAGAACCGTCTTTAGGAAGGCATGGTGTAATGATGGCCGTGGCATCTGTCTGCGGCCGCCCCAAACAGCTGAAGTAGACCTGAAGTTGCGAGACTTTTGCGCAAAAATCTTCCATATGACCTGAAAAAAGGACACCACCTGTGAAACCTCCCCGTTTTGGATGGTTTAGATCCACAGCTTGGCGCTCGTCAGGTGGCAGGAAGCGTGGCATCGGTGCCTTTGAAGGTCTTGGCATTCACCAAGCCTTGCAAGGCTTCCGAATGGATCACCTCCATCAACGTTTTCATGGCCACAAACTGTTGCTTCATGTCGCGCTTGTCCTGCAGATGGCACCAGATGTTCTGACACCTCTGGGATTTTGGTAGGAGGTTCCCCGGAAAGATGGGCAAGCTTTTCTCAATCTTTCTCGATTCTGAAGATTTTTTTCTATCTTTCGTTTTCCCCACAGTTGAGGGTCTCTAGATTTTGAGGTGCGACCCTAGCTCGTGGGCGAACCCTACATGCCAGAGAGGATGTCAGAATCGATGCCAGATAGAATGTCAGAAAGAATGCAAAGAATGCCAGATAGAATGTCAGAATATCTGTCAGATAGAATTTCAGTTGGTGGGGATCGCTCGAAATAAGTAATTTTTCTCTTTACCCTCTCGTAAACCAACAGTTTGCTATTGAAAATGGCCATAGAAATAGTGGATTTACCCATTAAAAATTGTGGATCTTTCCATAGTTATGTGGCAGTTTACCAGGCCGGGTATCCACATCCCAAAAAAGTCCAAGCGCTCCTTGAAGTAGTTGGCTGTGACCTTTGGCGCGTCTGCTGAGTCAGCGGAAACCGCCTCCACTGAGCCGCGGGAGTAGGTCTTGTGGTTCAGCCCAACCACCTGTATCCTGGGCCGGGATCCCATGGCAGCAGGAAAATCAAGGCCGGCAAATTGCCCTTCTTATCTTGATGCAGCACCCATTTTTCTGTGGATCAAAAAGATGTTCAAAGTCCTGACCTTCGTTTTCTCCCGTGATCCAGCAACAAATCTCCCCATGAAAGAAAAAAATTCCTGGCGCCGCCATTCTTTGGATATCCTGACCAAGCAACAAATCCCAAACTGCTGTTTAGATGGAAAGGGTCGTATCTATACAGTAGCCCCAAAAAAAGATCGAGCAACCATTTACCACCACGTTTAGTGTCCTTTTCATGGCGGTGCTACAAATTCTTCCAGGCCCGACAAATCCCTAACGTATTTGTCCGGTCAAAGAAAATGTCAACCATAAATTTATGGCCGATGTCCAAAATAAATGTCGTCGTCATCATCCACGCAACAGGTATGTAAACATCAATAATGTTAGCCTTAAGATGCTTAAGCAGACGGATTTTTTACCGACCCACAAATTGGGGTAGGGTGGGGTGGGGTGGGGTGTGATATTATTCTTCAGTACTGCAAGACATGATGTGATGCTACGCTACGCATGGGGTGGGGTGGGGTGGGTTGTGATATTATTCGTCAGTACTGCAAGACATGATGTGATGCTACGCTACGCATGGGGTGGGGTGGGGTGGGGTGTGATATCATTCGTCAGTACTGCAGACATGATGCGATGCTACGCTACGCATGGGGTGGGGTTGGGGTGTGATATTATTCGTCAGTACTGCAAGACATGATGTGATGCTACGCTACGCATGGGGGGGTGGGGTGGGTGTGATATTATTCGTCAGTACTGCAAGACATGATGCGATGCTACGCTACGCATGGGGTGGGGTGTGATATTATCGTCAGTACTGCAAGACATGATGCGATGCTACGCTACGCATGGGGTGGGGTGGGGTGGGATATATTCGTCAGTACTGCAAGACGATGCGATGCAACGCTACGCATGGGGTGGGGTGGGTGGGGTGTGATATTATTCGTCAGTACTGCGCGACATGATGTGATGCTACGCTACGCATGGGGTGGGGTGGGGTGGGGTGTGATATCATTCGTCAGTACTGCAAGACATGATGCGATGCAACGCTACGCATCGGATGGGGTGGGGTGGGGTGTGATATTATTCGTCAGTACTGCAAGACATGATGTGATGCTACGCTACGCATGGGGTGGGGTGGGGTGGGGTGTGATATTATTCTTCAGTACTGCAAGACATGATGCGATGCAACGCTACGCATGGGGTGGGGTTGTGGGGTTTGTGATATTATTCGTCAGGACTGCAAGACATGATGTGATGCTACGCTACGCATGGGGTGGGGTGGGGTGGGGTGTGATATCATTCGTCAGTACTGCAAGACATTCGAAGTCAACAATGGAGATGGGAACACACTGGCTTCGACTTGCTGACCGCAACTGGCGAAGCTGTAAGATCTTTCATGCGGTGAAGAGAAAAGGCCACTTTGTTCGTTCGTCGGGTTTTGCAGCACAAAACCCTGTAAGGGTTGCAAACCACAGTAAAGCGGATGTTTTTTTTTGATGGTCGTTTGCCACATGAAATCGCGCTGGCGCCAAAGCGAAACAACAATTTTTGGACAATCATGGGCCGGTGCTAGGCCCGCCGGGATGTTTAAGCCCAATTCCATCAATGTTAAATTGACATATGTTTGTGTTACTATATTCCTTAATCTTCAAGCCCAGCACACTTCAGATTTCATCGCCTCAAAGTCCTCAAGCCCAGATCAGATGCATCTAAGCATAGTAAATACGAGTATAGTATTTGTATTTGTTATTAGGATCTGTCACATATATGTATTATATATATATATGCACGAAAAGATTCAAGGCAACAATGCGCTGTTGTGTGAATGTTGTCTCCTCCTCCTTTTGTTGTCTGTGTGCGCTCAGCTTCTCTGTACTGTTGTACCCTGTTGGTACCTCTGGCGCAAGACCTTGTTGAACCAGGACGACAGGAATGATGTTGTACATTAACAATATATCTGTGTATATATATATATATATGGATGAGCATGGAAATCGGATTCCAAAAACGCTTGGAATCGAATGTAAAGAAGAATTCAATTTGAATTTAATTCCAACGTGTCTGTTCTTCATTTGACCTTCAAGCAGGAATTAAATCCAAATTTAATTCTTGTCATGGACTGCATTGTCTGGAACGTGCCGCGGACTTCTTTTTGGCCAGCCAAAGGGTTCCAAAGCGCCAAAAGCAGATCGAAGATTTTCCCGTGCCTGCAAAGCAAGCCAAGTGATTGTTCTAACCGATGCAAGTCTCTCTTACTGGATCCATCCGGTGCAGCCTACAAAAATCAACATACGAACTTGCGCGGGGGTCCGCTTTTCTTGCGGAACTCGGGCTCTCGAACGGGAATTTCAGACCCCCGATAATGCACATTGACAGCACAGACAGCGAGGCAGGAACACAGAGAGACAGACAGCTCCATGTAAAGAGTCTTAGACAGATAGATAGATAGATAGATAGATAGGCAGGTAGGTAGATAGATAGATAGATAGGTAGGTAGATAGATAGATAGATAGATAACTTTCATTAAAGAACTCCTGCCGGGGTCTCGCCATCAACGTGCCCGAAAGGTTAACACTGCCCCACCCCAACCTAGCATCCGCACCTTGATCCACTTGTCAAGAAAGTTAACACTGCCCCGCCCCAACCTAGCATCCACTGCGTGATCCCCTTGTCAAGAAGTTAACGTTAACACAAACTTCCTCCAAAAATGCAAACTGCCGGATCTCGACCCGCGGGGGTCCGCAAATTCGACCCCACCTACCGCCAAAATCTCAAAAAGCGGACCCCTTACATAGGTGCACCAACCTGCCCCCGGAAAACAGAAATCAACCAACGCCTTCAAAAGTAGTCGCGGTCAGAGTGCTGTGCTTCAAATTCTTTTCACGAAGCCATCTTTGCGCACCCTTGCGCAACGTCTCCTTCTCCCAAAAGGAATCCGTCGCCACATGCACCCATGGCTTCCGTTTCCGACCACGGCGAACTTCTTGGGCCGACATCTCTCAGAAACAAGTATAGAAAAAGAATTAAGGATCAGGCACCAGAACACAGCAAAGCCAAAGAATTAAATTCAAATTAAATTCCTTCAGTACGTGCCCAACAGTCCGGTAGCCAGAGAGGGGGAATTAGATTCAGATTTAATTCCAATTGAATTTGATTTCCAGTCTTGTTTTAATATATATATACCCTAGGGGGCGGGGGTTCCCCGAGGGGGGGAAGGGGTGGGGTTGGGGTGGGGTGGGGTGGGGTGGGGTGTGTGATAACGTTCATGTAGTTGCGTCAAGGGTTAGGGTGGGGTGGGGTGGGGTGTGATAACGTTCATGTAACTTGCGGGAAGGGTTCGGGTGGGGTGGGGTGGGGTGGGGTGTGATAACGTTCATGGAACTTGCGTGAAGGGTTCGGGTGGGGTGGGGTGGGGTGGGGTGTGATAACGTCATGCTACGCTAGTGTGTTGTCTCTTGTACTTGTCACGCATACGGCAAGCTACGCTAGTGTGTTGTCTCTTGTACTTGTCACGCATACGGCAAGCTACGCTAGTGTGATGTCTCTTGTACTTGTCACGCATACGTCAAGCTACGCTAGTGTGATGTCTCTTGTAATTTTTTTATGCATGAGTCCTGCTACGCTAGTGTAAGTTATCTTGCACTTGTCACGCACACGTCATGCTACGCTAGTGTGTTGTCTCTTGTACTTGTCATGCATGAGTCCTGCTACGCTAGTGTAAGTTATCTTGCACTTGTCACGCATACGTCAAGCTACGCTAGTGTGGTGTCTCTTGTACTTGTCATGCATGAGTCCTGCTACGCTACTGTAAGTTATCTTGCACTTGTCACGCACACGTCATGCTACGCTAGTGTGTTGTCTCTTGTACTTGTCATGCATGAGTCCTGCTACGCTACTGTAAGTTATCTTGTACTTGTCACGCATACGTCAAGCTACGCTAGTGTGATGTCTCTTGTACTTGTCATGCATGAGTCCTGCTACGCTACTGTAAGTTATCTTGTACTTGTCACGCATACGTCAAGCTACGCTAGTGTGATGTCTCTTGTACTTGTCATGCATGAGTCCTGCTACGCTAGTGTAAGTTATCTTGCACTTGTCACGCACACGTCAAGCTACGCTAGTGTGTTGTCTCTTGTACTTGTCATGCATGAGTCCTGCTACGCTAGTGTAAGTTATCTTGCACTTGTCACGCACACGTCATGCTACGCTAGTGTGTTGTCTCTTGTACTTGTCATGCATGAGTCCTGCTACGCTAGTGTAAGTTATCTTGCACTTGTCACGCACACGTCATGCTACGCTAGTGTGTTGTCTCTTGTACTTGTCATGCATGAGTCCTGCTACGCTACTGTAAGTTATCTTGCACTTGTCACGCACACGTCAAGCTACGCTAGTGTGTTGTCTCTTGTACTTGTCATGCATGAGTCCTGCTACGCTACTGTAAGTTATCTTGCACTTGTCACGCACACGTCATGCTACGCTAGTGTGTTGTCTCTTGTACTTGTCATGCATGAGTCCTGCTACGCTACTGTAAGTTATCTTGTACTTGTCACGCATACGTCAAGCTACGCTAGTGTGATGTCTCTTGTACTTGTCATGCATGAGTCCTGCTACGCTAGTGTAAGTTATCTTGCACTTGTCACGCACACATCATGCTACGCTAGTGTGTTGTCTCTTGTACTTGTCATGCATGAGTCCTGCTACGCTACTGTAAGTTATCTTGCACTTGTCACGCACGCGTCATGCTACGCTAGTGTGTTGTCTCTTGTACTTGTCATGCATGAGTCCTGCTACGCTAGTGTAAGTTATCTTGTACTTGTCACGCACACGTCATGCTACGCTAGTGTGATGTCTCTTGTACTTGTCATGCATGAGTCCTGCTACGCTACTGTAAGTTATCTTGTACTTGTCACGCATACGTCAAGCTACGCTAGTGTGATGTCTCTTGTATTTTTTTATGCATGAGTCCTGCTACGCTAGTGTAAGTTATCTTGCACTTGTCACGCACACGTCATGCTACGCTAGTGTGTTGTCTCTTGTACTTGTCATGCATGAGTCCTGCTACGCTACTGTAAGTTATCTTGTACTTGTCACGCATACGTCAAGCTACGCTAGTGTGTTGTCTCTTGTACTTGTCATGCATGAGTCCTGCTACGCTACTGTAAGTTATCTTGTTGTCACGCACACGTCATGCTACGCTAGTGTGTTGTCTCTTGTACTTGTCATGCATGAGTCACGCTACGTCACTGTCTACGCTAGTGTGATGTCTCTTGTACTTGTCATGCATGAGTCCTGCTACGCTAGTGTAAGTTATCTTGTACTTGTCACGCACACGTCATGCTACGCTAGTGTGTTGTCTCTTGTACTTGTCATGCATGAGTCCTGCTACGCTACTGTAAGTTATCTTGTACTTGTCACGCATACGTCAAGCTACGCTAGTGTGATGTCTCTTGTACTTGTCATGCATGAGTCCTGCTACGCTAGTGTAAGTTATCTTGTACTTGTCACGCATACGTCAAGCTACGCTAGTGTGATGTCTCTTGTACTTGTCATGCATGAGTCCTGCTACGCTAGTGTAAGTTATCTTGTACTTGTCACGCACACGTCAAGCTACGCTAGTGTGTTGTCTCTTGTACTTGTCATGCATGAGTCCTGCTACGCTAGTGTAAGTTATCTTGTACTTGTCACGCATACGTCAAGCTACGCTAGTGTGATGTCTCTTGTAGCATGAGTCCTGCTACGCTAGTGTAAGTTATCTTGCACTTGTCACTCATGCTACGCTAGTGTGTTGTCTCTTGTACTTGTCATGCATGAGTCCTGCTACGCTACTGTAAGTTATCTTGTACTTGTCACGCATACGTCAAGCTACGCTAGTGTGATGTCTCTTGTATTTTTTCATGCATGAGTCCTGCTACGCTACTGTAAGTTCTCTCGAAGAAGCACGGGAAGTAGATGCTACGGGTGGGTGGGTGGGAAACTTATATAGATATCATTTCATTATTATATGTACCCCATAGTGCTTCTGGTTGATCGGCAACTCACCATGTTTGGATTTCTTTTTGGTTTTTGTCGGTACTTTTCTCCGGCTTCAGGCCACTACCTCAGATGCGTTGTCGTTGTGTGGATGGATTACGCTTGGCAGCAACGGATGGCGATTGGTTTGGAATAACATTATTTGTAGTCACTTAAAGATAACACTTTTTGGGCCATCTTAATTCTAAATAGGATACCAAAGAAATCGATAGTGCAAATTGCACACATAACATTGGGGATCCAGGGATTACTGTCATAGATCAGAAAAGGCATTGAACTTGCATATCAATAAACACGTATGTATATTGTTTTTTCTGCATCATAGTAACATCATACGAGACATGAACTGCTTCGTTTCTCACATCTCGGCATTATGCGACAGAGATTTTCGAGATGCTAGCCTTCCTCGGGCTCAATAATGAGGTCACTTTCCGTACAACAGTTGCTGTCCATATGTTTCATTATTTTTTTGCGCTTGGCTTCATGTGATGCTCCTCACAAGGGGCTTTTACCTCTGTGGAGGTGTTCTGGAGAGTACTTAGATTCTTTGCTTATGTTAGCTCTGGAAAGTAGCGGCCAAGATGTTTCTACGAGTGCCGCTGCTTGGACGCTGCATGTTGTTTTGATTCATGACTGGTGGGAGAAACGATTGCATTGTTTGCTGACTCACCATCGTTTGCTGCAGAAAACTTGGATAGATCGTGTGAAGTCCAAACCGTTGCCGGAATGTGTGGAGGCTGCGGTTAGAGTCATGTTACGTCGCTTTTCTCCATGGCGGCACCTTTTGGAATTTCCATACTGGTTCAATGTATGCTTTCCATGTTTTCACTGGAGTGAAGAGGAAGTCAACGCTTCGCTTCGCGATGAGGAGGCGCAGCGCACTGATGTGGAAGTGGTTGCTTGTTCTGGTGCAGACGCATATGCGGATGTCCATCTGCAGACTCCTCCGCGCAAACGTTTGCGACCTGATCCTGGTGTGATCTCGCCAAGGACGGAAGCCAGGTATTTTAGATTGTCCTCTGATGACCCTGCTGGAGCTTCGGAGCCATTGGTGCCAGATGATTCTCCTGAGACCAAGAAATTCAAGTTGTGGTATCAAAGAGAAGTTTTCGTATCAGATGAGGAAAACGTACCAGACATTCCTTCTCCATGTGATGTTTCCAGACCATCTCTGCCTTCTTCCTCTTCAGCCCTTTTGCCGTCTTCCGGGCATGATGACCCATGCGTCACTGACAAGAACAGCAAGCAGTATAAGTAGGGTGCATGCCCGGTACATGGCTGCGCGCGTTCTCCACATGTCTTTCCCAGCACTTGTGCACCGGAGAGGCGTGGCAAGGCATTCTTGCGCCTTGGCCGTTTTGTCCACGAGACTTTCGTTTTTCTTGGAAGCATTTGCTCCTTGATCTTGATGTGTTTGGTCTGGTTGATGCTGTTGCTGAGGTTGATGATGATGATGATGATGATGTTGATGATGATGATGATGATGATGGTGCTGGTCATGATGATGATTCAAAGTCAATCCGAGGATCTGCAACAAATGGTGGAAGTCCTCAGGCGGAAGGCGTGAATGTTGGGAAATGAGACTGGCAACCAGCTCAGAGGTAAAGCAATTTCCGCTGCTACAGAAGCGCAAGTATAGTGACATGTCGAATGCTTTGGCAAGAAATGCCATGGACTGAGCTGCAGTTGCGTGAAAAAGGCTGCGGCAATATGCGGCAGTGCCCACATCATCGTGACATTGCATATGGAAGTGAGGGTCCGTTGCAAGGCGGAGCCAACTCTGTTTGTCCGCAGCCATTTTTCCCACAAACAATTTTCCCGACATGCCCAAAGTGAAACACTTGGGTACTTTAAAGAAGGGTAAAGCCGAAAAGGTTTTCTCTAAAGGAGCCGTTGCCCAAAAAAATTCGCAACACAAAGACTTGCAAATTCAGTATTCGACGTCGTCCAGCAGTGGTACCCATGCCTTGAGGGATCTCAAACAAGTCTCCTACCCAGAACTTTGCAGCTGGGGTGAAAAGACGTGTAAAAAATTTCTCTGGCAACACGGGGTCCTTTCAGATCAACTTCCTCTTTGTTACTCATGTGGAGAAGAAATGGTACGGAGTGGCCGCAATGTGAATGATGAACTGAAGTGTACCACGAAAAGCTGCTATATACATCCGAAATTGACGTTTCCGGTGGAGGCTTTCACTCCATTGCATTCGCAAGTGCGTCAACATCAGGATGGCGACTACACCAATTTCCTGCGCATTTGCTACCTCATAGGAATCAAAACACCCATGGATTCAATGGAGCATCTCCTGGAAGGAGTCACTGTGAAGCGAATGACTGCGTGGGCGCAAGACATTCGTCTTGCACTGGCGACCTGTGAGTATCTGGATTCTACTTCATTTGAGTTTCCTGCAGGCATTCTTGAGTTTGACACATGCACTGCCACAGTCCAACGCAAAGCATCTCAGAGTGCGGTCCAACATGCCAAACAAAAGCGTTACAAAGTGGAAAGAAAAGCTAACAAGTTTTTGAAGCGCAAGAGGATGCCGGTGATGAAGAGACCCGCGAGCAGTTCGAAAAAGACTAACAAGATTTTTCGAGGACGTCACATCGTATTCAAGCTTCGCTGTGTCGACGGTTCCGTTGCGACCAAGCAATATGCTGTCCTACCGCTGCCGCCAAAAGTAGCAGACAAAGGCACTTTCGACTCACAAACATTTTGAAATGTTTCCACCTAGACACTATTGAAGGAATTTTTCTTTTTTCAGTTGGTCGGTTTCCCCTGTCCCGCTTGTGCTTTCTCAACTACTAACATAACCTTGCTCATTTGTGTTCGGAGGCCCAGCTGCTGGTCCGGAATCGCTAGCGGAAACTGTGATTCCAGTCATGTCGAAGTTGCGCAAGGGGCAACACTTGGCTGCCGCAGATGGAAGTCGATCGCTGCAAGCAGCAGCCAAGATGGCTGGAACACCCAGCCTGCAAGGCGTTTCTCACATACGCCACCTTTTTACTCCTTTGAGCACCATTCCCAAAAAGGGACTCCGTACAGATGAGGTCAGTCTTTTGAGACACTTGACCAAACAAGGATGTTGCAAGGAATCCCGTACTTCATTTCTGCTGGTGGGTGGAGACAACGTGGCCGAGTCCTTGGCTGCTGTGACAAAGTCACAGCTGAGACGCCACGGATTGCAGAAGGTTGTCAACGACCCCATCGAACATCGCAACGTTCTAGCAGTGCACTATGTAAGCAAAAAGCCTGGTTTGGAAAGTGTCTTGAATGCACTCACACGCTTCAAGGAGTTGGCAATGAAAAGTTGCCGGCAGCCTGCGTTAGTCTTCAAAGAAGCACCGTGGGACGCCTGAGAGAGAAAATAAGACCTGACTCAAGGCAATGGGACACTATGCTGATCCGCATAGTCTTGCCATCAGAAAAGAAATCTGTTCATATAAAATGAGATAGAAGTACATCTTCGTAGGGTTCTGTGTTCCACGCAGCACGGGGGGGATTGCGGGTGGCACATGCCTGCTGCGTGCTTGAGGTTGGGTGACCCAGATGGGACTTGGCCGCGAACGATTGCGGCGTTTGTGGCGGAACACAAATAATGATTTATCCCAATCAAGCAAAATGTATCGGTATCCTAACATAATGTACCACCATCGTTATATTTTATTTTAATGTTCTACGATGGTATCTTGTTGCATAGAATAACATTTGAATTGGTCGGGTTTGTGCCTTCTATAGTGGTTGATATGTCTTGTACTAATGCTTTTGTATAAAAACAGAAAAAACAGCTGACTGTCAGCATTCGGAACTTTTGATGCTATGCAAAAACACTGTGAATTACCAATGAAAAACAGCATCACATCAAAATACCTGTGGAAACACAGTATATTATACCCTTTTCCAATGATCTTTGATATAAAACAAAAAGTCCACCTCGTAATTCCAATGGAGAAAATGAGAGCACCAAAAAAGCAAAAATGTGAGGGTCCATAACTGACTTCAAATTCGACGGACGAAAAAAAATTGATCCGTAATTAAAAGACACCAACAATGAAAAGAACAACATGAAAAATCTCCATTTTACCACAGTGAAACACTGTTTTTTCTCCAATTCAATGATCCTGATTGATATCCTCTCGGGGAACCCCCGCCCCCTGCGGTATATATATATATATGTGTATATATATATATATATGTACAGTGTAATATGTATGTATGTATAATATATATATATATTCAATGATCTTTATTAATATCTATGTCATATATATATATAACTTCATATATTTCTATCATTCTTCAATCCCAGGCACATATTGTTCATGATATCTGCGATGGGTCCCGTGAGCAGCGGCTTCATCAGCGCTCGCAGGGCTTCCGTGCGCTGCTCCGGCGGAACCATGCCCAGGGAGGGGATGGCGAAGCCGCTCGCCACCTTGCCCCAACCTGCGGCGATATGCGACCCCCAAAAAAACAGCTGAAGGCATGGGGAGATGACCCAGAAAAATGTGAAAAATGGTGGGATTTCGTTGGATTTCGTGGGATTTCGTGGGATTTCAACATGAAAGATAAGGATTTCATAAGATTGATGCAAATATGGTGGTATAAAAGCTACCAGCTTATGGGAAATTCACATTTATCATTTACCACTGGAACGTACTGGAACAATGAAAATTGCATGGGAATTCCAATGAAAGAAACGTTTGGCAACAACAACAACAACAACAACATGTTCAACTATGGGACAGTTATTATCGCACCGAATGTGTGGCCACCCTGAAGCTGGGTACGTCTCAAATTTTGGCACCACAGAACACATGGTGGCGCATCATTGTCCCCACCAAAACAGCCATAAAATAGTATTATACCCATAGAGATTGACCAAACCAACGACTTAGAAGCTAGAATACCAACACGTAAATGCTGCCCATGTCTGTCATTATCACTTTGCCAGAAATAGTCGCATGGAAGCTTAGGCCAAAAGGTGTGTGTTTTCCTTCCCCTTGGATTCCTTCTCCCCGACCATGTTCCTTCCAAACAATGCAATGCCTGATGCAACCCATGCCAGTTCTCAGCCGCAGGCCTTCACTCTCAATGGTGATCTGTGAAGTTGTGTTTGAAGACATGGCATAGCCAACATACAACGGTCGATGCTTGGATGCCCAAACGCCTTGGACGGTCACCCACCCTGGGTAGATGTATTTATATACATATATATATATACAGACAGTATAAGTTAATATAAGGATATAACGATATAAACCACCCACAAAAGAGTTAAACTATGTTAAACTGATCATAGCAAATCAAGATGCCAAAGTTCAAGATGTTGCGATCAATGAAGTTGTGTCCAACATTCTCGTTCTCCACCACCGTTTGGACCCCCAAGTTTCGCAGCAACCTGCTCTCGCCAATGCCGGAGACTTGCAATAGCTGAGGACTGAAAATGGCGCCAGAGGCCAAGATCACGCCCTTGCGTGCTTTGATGGTCACCAAGTCATTGAAATTGTTGCGAGCCAGGACGCCACTGGCGCGCTTGCCTTCGAAATTGATCTTCTTCACCTGTTTTTGGTGTCTAAAAATGGGGGGAGGTCACTAAAGATGAACATTTCTCATATCATTTAATATCATGTCATTGGGAAAACGATGATAACGCAAGGGAATTTGAGGGGAACTTCATGTTTGGCTGGTGTTTGGACAAACCCAAACTGAATGTGGTGATAGCAACTAGTTTTTGGAGACCTCCTAAATTCACACAGAAACATATACATAGATATATGTCTCTGTGTGGAACGTTGCCGAAAAATTGAATATCTATAACATACATAGACAATCATACAAATATATATATATATATGTACAGCATATATGTTCATTACAGCTTCTCATTGCGGACAGCATCCAACTCCGCAGGGATTACCCAAAATTGGAGTGCTGCCAGCCTGGAAGCTGGTGAAGAATCTCAGGTTTTTCATGTCAGAACGCCTTGGTGGAAAAAGGGAGGACGAGCAAACTTGAAGCCTGGAAAATGATGTACGTTTGTTTTTTTTAAGTGAGTTCATAGCATTGGCCTGTCTTGACTTTGATATAAATATATATATATATACATATGCATATTTATATATATATATACAAATATTTATATACACATATGCAAATATATATATATACACATATTTATATACATACAAGCACCGTACTTAAGTCACATCAGGCGGGAAAAGTCATATCATCCCCATGGCACGGGGGCGATACGGAGAAGTCACATCAGGTAGTGGAAAGTCACATCAGGGAAGAAGAATCACCATGGCACAGCCTGTCTCATCCATACTTGGAGATGTAGTTAAAAGTAGCCGAAGCATTGCGCACAGCGATGATTTTGAAGGGCACAAGTTAATACAAACAGATTCTCGGCAGCTAATCCTATTGGATTTGAATATATTATATTGATGTCCTGCGTCGCGTGACCAAATCAAACCCCTACTGGTACAGCCTCAAATTTCTTGCAATGCAAGTGGGTTAGCTGTAGCAAATCCTATTGGCAGGGCTATGATCTAGGATGATATAAGGATATGGGGGCCCCTTGTTTTCCGCAACCAAATCTATGGCTGGCGCGATGTGCATCAATGTCGTGGACAGCTCTCAAGAAGTTTGTTGTCCTATCCACCCAGGAATTACGAATTGGAAAAACACCTTCATTCCATTGCGGGCGGAAAGCGTGGCAGGTTTTGTCGGTGCTCCGTCTGCGACGTCTGTTGTGTCTGTTCCGTCTTGCGCCGTCTTGCCGTCTGCGCCGTCTTGCAGCAAGCAGCAGCAAGCAGCAGCAAGCAGCAGCAAGCAGCAGCAAGCAGCAGCAAGCAGCAGCAAGCAGCAGCAAGTAGCAGGCAAGCAGCAGGCAAGCAGCAGGCAAGCAGCGCCCCCTTGAAAGAATGATCAAATATATTTTTTAAAAATCAACGCCATAAAAAAAAAAGCCAAACTTGAACTTTTTCCAGGCGCACGGCCTCGCGATACGACTTTTACAAGCTGATACGACTTAACGCTAGCGCGTGTATATGCCGAGCAGCTCATGTAGCAAGGCCGCAGCTCCACGACGAATCCAAGTCTTTTTGGATGTGTTGAATGTGGCATAGGCCACCTCGGCTGATCCGAAAAAGCTGTTTAGGATGGTTTATCCATGGTATTCCATGGTAAATCCATAGGAAAAAAGGCGGCTTTAAAAAGAAAAAAACATCATTTTCTCGATGAAAATTGCGAGCTTGGGGTTATACCATATTTTCAGACACTCTTCCAGCTGTTTGGCATCCGCAAAAATTCCACCTTTGTAGAAATTGATGCACTTTGGAACTACTAACGTCCCTGCAAACAGCCAAGATCAGTCAAGTTGCCCAAGAGCCATCTTTCACCATCCGCGCGCTCGGCTTGGGGTCGGCAACGCCTTCCTGAGCGGTCCATGTGCCAATGGACCAACTCATTTGAAATTATAGTGTTAATTATATAGTTGCCATACGGATGGTTTGATATGATTTATAATCTTGCTGTCAAACCATATTTTATCATATCAAACCATCCATTTTGGGGGGCCAATCACATATTTGTCTATTTCCTTTCCACAGCGCCGAGTCACACCCGCTTCATGCAAGGCATCCGCATATCGTCGCCCAAAGCTGGAGGGCCTCAGCGGCACGGTCAGTTGTTTTGCCACCCAAGCGGAACTCTCATAGAACTCCGAGAGGTTCACTGCCTGTGCTGCAGCCGCTGACTCTGGTCATGGATTGTACTAGCAAATATGGGGGTTTCCACAAATGGAGATAACCATAAATGGATGGCTTATAATGGAATAGGCATCTATAAATGGATGATTTTGGGGGACCCCCATTTTAGGAAACCTCCAAATAAGTGCCAACCAGAGGGTCTGAGTCTTGGGCACCGCTCAAAGAATCATTTAAAAAAACAACTATTAGTAGTGTATGTTCACTGGCTTGTTCAAGTGATCCATTTCCAAGGATGGCGCAGACCGTTCCTGGGCCACTGCAGATTGAATTCCATACCTCCCAAAGCTTGATGTTCCAGATCAACCCTCCCGAACTTGGGGAATCCTCATTGGATTACGAGACACTGGCAGCCAGAAAATGTTTCCAATGCCGAGAAAAAAAGCTTTGCACCACTCTCCACTTACACCACTCCAAATCTGAACTCGGATTCCAGATTCCAGTGGGTTCCGGCGCCTCCCCAAAGTTGTCTTGGAAGTAATCTGGTTCTTCTTCAATGTACAGCCCGCCGTTGATGGCGGTTCCACCCCCCAGGACGTTCGCTACGCAGCCCCAGGTCTGATCCGTCCATCGAATCAGCTGTGCGGCGGAGTTCACAACTGCGGGCCAAGTGTCGGCGTATTCGGTTTCAGCCAGCTCCTGGTTTGGCCATGTGGATTTCGCATGTGAAACCGAACTGGTTAACATAGCGAACTGGAAATCCGCGAACGTGTTCTGTTCGTTGAATCATGGTAAACCATGATCTGTATCATCCATCGGCAAGTTTCCATTGCAAAGTGTTAAGAACCAGAGGTTAATCCGATAAATGAGTAGAATTGCTCATTTAACCGGCAAAAAATCAATGGAGAAGCTGACAACTGGTGAAAAAAACCCTCTGATTATCAGAAATCACCATGGTCATGGTATTTCATCTACTTCATGGATTGTTCTTTTCCAGCTAACCATGTTTGATCACAGGTAGTATAGGAAACGATATCACAAGTGACTTGTGAACCCATGTTCCTGCCATGGAACTATCCCCAAAAAAAACAACGAACCTGAGAGATGCTGGTAACCCTCATGTTCCAATACACAAAACCAGCGGTCCACGATATTACTTGGTTGTCCCTGTTGGATCAGCTTCCAGCGATTGGGAAAAGTCAGACTCCTACTGACAACTGATGTCGTCCCCATTGAACTTGGCATAACTCGCTGGCCCATTCCCCCCTCATTTCGCACATCGAGATATACATGGGTGAATAAATTGTATCCCCAACTCATTCAACTCCCGGACTCCCCCCCTCCGTCCAGGTCGGATTGGCCGCGCTCCAGCACCAAAACATCCTCCCCAGCATCCGCTAAGGCGGCAGCCGCCGCGCAGCCTGAGGCGCCACCGCCGATGATGATCCAATCTGCCGCCTCTGGGGCTGCTGCAGGTTTCGCACACTGACCTACCCACGACCGGAGAGGCGGAGGCTTCTTGGATTCTTGGGGATTGAAGCAAAATTCCGGGCGTGAAATGTCCTGCAAAAAATGAAGACAGTGTGCAGTGTGCGGTCTTTCTAGTCGCTTGATCCATTTGTACTGCCAGTCATGCACACCCTGCCGGCCTTCACACATGATCTTCAATAGGCCACATCCTTTCTCTCCAACCAGGGTGCCCCCTTGAGAACAATGGCTGTAGAGTTTCGCAGGACATGCCGTACACTGCCCATCCCAGTAGAGCTGCGGCGTCGGCGCTGGCAAGGATTGGGGTTTCCGGCACTTGGCTTCGCAGTGGACCCCCAAAGGGCCGCAAGCTTTCTCGTCGACGATCTCACCACCCTCCGAGCAGTGACCTGGGCTGAGCCGTGAACATCGGAAGTCGAGTTGAAGTTGGGGCTTGTCCTGACCTTTTTGTCATCCAATTTTCAGGGATGCACCATGTTCGGCTTTTGTGGGATTAAAAATCCAAGATGTACTTGAAACCACCACGCAGTGACTATCTTTGTAGAACTTCGCAGGGCAAGCCGTGCACTGCCCATCCCAGTAAAAGTCCGGCGCAGGTGCTCCGGATCGCACTGCTACTGTGCACTGACCTTCACAGAAAACTCCCTTGCAGGCGCGTTCGCCCACCAGCACGCCACCATTGGCACAGTGATCCTTCTCGTACAGCTTGGCTGGGCAGGGTTTGCATTGATTATCCCAGTACAGCTTCTCAGGGGGCCATTGGGATGTGTTTTCTGCAGACCTGCAGGGTCATAAAAGGCTCCAAAAAGGCCGGGCCAAAAGGGTTGCCTGTTCTTAGGGCAGCTATTTTTGGGATCAAATGAATTGATGAGACAATTATATAAAGGGACCAAATATGACGACCAACTGATGTCCAATGTATTGTTCACCAGCCTGAACCCCCACAGTCACAAAATCAGAGGAATTGAAAGGAATTGTTATATAGCAACCCGAAAACAGTAGAAAAATAAAACCCTACTATTTTTCATACATAGATTGCAGTTGATTTTTGGATGGTTTTGCAACATGGCTACTTTGTCAGCTCAGTAAGCTTCGTCGGCGCAGTTTTGGGCGCTCGCCTGGCGATTCTGGCTGCAATCAGCAAGATGAAAGCGAGTTTCTCTGCTTGAAGCATGCTGAAATGTCGAAGATGTGATGGCTGGTGACTCTTCGGGTCAGCGTGTCAGTTGGTATTTGAGCCCAATACTTTGATGTGCTGCCCCGAGCAGTTGTGGACTTTCGGTTTCTAAAATGTCCCACAGAATGCCCAATGGCTGTTGAACTCTACGGGTAATCAGTTTCGATTGGCATGTTTGATTGCAAGAGGCTAGCCTCAAATGTCAAGATCAAGATCTGTGCTATGCACTAAAATGTCTGCTGCACGGATTTATTATATATTGCAGATTGGTGAACGAGCTTGAAAACCCGAATCGGCCAGGTGATCAAAAAGGTGGGCCTTACTTCATGAATACATATAATTACTAAAATTCGAACATCCAAAATCATATAGAAATGTGATCGAATTTGGGTCAATTCTTGGAGTCCCCAACCCCAAGTGAATCCAGGGGCTTGAAAAGTCACGATCGCAAATTGGGACGAAGCCAGGGAAGTACGCAATCCGTTTTTTTTCAACTCCCCAATTCTCCCGTTCTCAAGCGCCACCCTCTGCGATTCGAAAGCGTTTTGCAGGTGGCTGGTCTTCAGCCTCACCCAAAGTGGCAAGGAAAAGATGAAAAATAGATACTGCATTGATAAGGGGCTACAAGCAAGTTCCAAGGGGTAATAATCCGGGTAATAGCCTAGTCACTAGGCCTAGTCTCTCAGTTCAAACGGTTACAGCCCAGTCATGAGGAGTTGCAACCCAGTTCTTAGGGGATATGCCGATATCCCTAATTCCAAACCATCGCGTGATGAATGGGAGACCAGTCATTGAGGACATGAGATAAATTCGATTTGTCTGCAGATGCCTGGTCATCAATATGTTATCGACTTTGGTTTTGCTCTGTGCTTCTCATGATTCTGTTTGTCAGACAAATGGGGTAATGGACTCAGCAAAGCCCTTCACAAATCCCATCACAAGAAAAGCCTTCCATCGCGGGACGAAATGAAGCAGGCCAGGCCTGGAGTTTAAAACCCAAAAATTGGAGGTTTCCAAAAATTGGGGGTACCCCCAAATCACCCAAATCATCCATAGATGACCAGCAACTAAGCATTAAAGCCTATGGTGACGACTCGGGATCCCCCACGTCCAGCCTCTGCCTCGAATCCCTCGAATCCCTCGAATCCCTCGAATCCCCCAGCGCTCAACGAATTTACGAAGTCCTCCTCCTGACACCCCATGGCAGAAGCTGGTGATCACTGGTCGTTGTGTACATGTACTCTACATGTATACATAGAGATATCTGCACATAATGTAAACACCAGAGAAACATGTGTGTATATATATTATATACACACTCCATAATATGCATATGTATATACATATATAATCATATAGATAGATAGATAGATAGATAGATAGATAGATAGATAGATAGACAAATAGACAGATAGACAGATAGACAGATAGACAGATAGACAGATAGACAGATAGACAGATAGATAGATAGAGATAGAGGTAGAGATAGAGATAGAGATAGAGATATTAGATATTAGATATTAGATATTAGATATTCGATATTCGATATAGATATTAGATATAGATATAGATATAGATATAGATAAAGAGATAGAGAGAGAGAGAGATAGAGAGATAGAGAGATAGATAGAGAGATAGAGAGATAGATATAGATAGATAGAGATAGATATAGCTATAGATAGAGATAGAGAGAGAGAGATAGAGAGATAGATAGAGAAATAGATATAGATATAGATAGAGATAGATAAAGATATAGATATAGATAGAGGTAGATATAGATATATATATATCTAGAAATAGACAGATTTAGATATAGATAGATGTAGATAGATATATATATATAAAGAAATAGATAGATAGATAGATATAGATAGAGATAGAGATAGATAGATATAGATAGAGATAGAGATAGATATAGATAGATATAGGTAGATATAGATGGATACATATAGATATAGATAGATATAGATCGATATAGATAGATATAGATAGATATAGATAGGTATAGATTGATATAGATTGATATAGGTAGATAGATATAGATAGATATAGATAGATATAGATAGATATAGATAGATATAGATAGATAGATATAGGTAGATAGATAGATAGATATAGGTAGATAGATAGATAGATAGATAGATATAGGTAGATAGATAGATAGATAGGTAGGTAGGTAGGTAGATAGATTAGATAGGTAGGTAGGTAGGTAGATAGATTAGATAGATAGATAGATAGATAGATAGATAGATAGATAGATAGATAGATAGGTAGGTAGGTAGGTAGGTAGGTAGGTAGATAGATAGATAGATTAGATAGATAGATAGATAGATAGATAGATAGATAGATAGATAGCTTAGATAGCTTAGATAGCTTAGATAGATAAATAGATAGATAAATAGATAGATAAATAGATAGATAAATAGATAGATAAATAGATAGACGGGAATTGAACACTAATATAACATGTCTGTGTAATATGTATTTCATGTCTTGATATGCCGTCAAATGCCATCTGATCATTAATCAACTGAATTGGATTGAATTGGCACCATGCCATGTCCGAGTCCTCCCGCATGCTTTCCAGAATCCAGGAGGGTATCTTGTAGCTCTGCGATGCAAAGCTGCGGCAGTCAGCATCGAAGCACTTCCTGGACAGGTTGCCGGTTGATGGCTTGACGTTTGAACCTATCCCGAGAAATCCAAAGACTATGGGTTTTTAAAAGTTTTAATACTGGTGTCAATTCGTGACCTCATGCTTTTTTTGTTAACACTTTATCACTATTTCTCTCTTGTGTATTCTCCAAGCATAGAATCTGGTAGAAGTCCCCCCGGAGAAGGTCGGCCACCAGGTACACATGATTGCTGCGGTGGGAAGCACCTTTGCACCAGCAGAAACGGTTATTCCCCAGAGTCACCGTGATGATTTTACCCTCCAGCTCCACACCTCGGTTCCACAGCCGAGGAAAGGCAAAATAAAGCATTAATAAATTCTACGTGTAAGTGTGTATACATATATATATATAATCATTTTTGATACATATGATTATATATATATATCATTAAATATATACATACATACACTGTATACATAGATACGGAAAAGCACAAGCAAATCCAAGCCACAGGATTGCACGTTGGTCGCAGCACACCTTCTCTCATCAAATTTAACCTCGTTCAAGCGCCGGGTTTCATCCCAGGTGCACACCAGGTGATTCAGCAACGGATCACATTGAGCCGAAGAAATCGAGCCATTCTCACGGCGAAGACCCACAGAACCACCTGGCATCGGGGATTCGTCCCATGTGATTGCGCCATTGAAAAATGGGGAAAGTGATTTTCGAATCCACCGGAGTTTGCTGTACACACTTTTTTTCCCTGCCTCGAGAAATTCGAGAAATCACGGCCTGCGCATGTCCATAATCTGAGGGAATCAACTGGTGCCGAAACAGTTCAGTGCCTTCCGGCACAAAGGATGCCATTGTCTGCACCAACGCGATGGCAGGGTATGGCTTTCCTCCAAAAATATCATCATCCCGGCTGTGATCGAGGTCCAATCTCCGGTCTTTCCCAAATTTGGATTGAAAGAGTAAGCGAAAAGATCGATTCCGACTATACACAGATTCATCAATAACACATACTTGTCTCTGCTGCTCTACATCTCGACCTGGCGCTTCCACGAAAAGATACCTTGAAAGAGACCAACTTTCATCGCGATGTGCTTCCGCATATTTCACCAAATGGTTTACCAACAGTCCAGTCTGAGCATTGTTGGCAAAGGCCAAGGCTCTTTGAACTCCGTCACCATCTGGACCATTTGGATACTCCCCAAGAGCTTTCACTATCACATGGCGCGAGAACTTCTTTGGGGTTGAGGACTCAAGTTCCAACATCTTCGTTGTGTCAAGTTTCATCCCCAGCACATTCTGGCAAAATGCCTCCAGGGTCTTCCTGAAGGCATGCATCACCACTTTGGCTTTCAGCTTCGGATTGCTCTCCAGCGAAAATTCCAAGTCAAAGTAGAGCCAGCAGGGTCGATTCTCCAGGATCACCTGCGAAAAATCGATGGTTTTTCGCTAACCTCCATTCATAGTGGCTGTCCCATGTTGTTCCTATCATTTTCCCAGAAAAGTTTCGGATGTTCCCACGATTTGCCCATGATTTTCCATCATGACCATCCATAGAAACCACAACGGGCCCCACCTCGTAGAAGTGGCCACGGTCTTTTTTGTCCTTGGGCCAGGCCTTAGGCGCTTTCTCCATGGCGAACTGAGCGAAGGTCTCCACCAGGAACCTGTGGTTCAAAAAATGCGAAAAATGGAGGGAATGCCCTGGAAAACTTTTTTTGATTTCTGGGGAAAACTATGATTTATTTGGGGATATAACTAGAATATTTGAATGAGAGATGAATGGGAAACTATGATATTAGCTCATGTATGTTAGCTAAGTCGGTTTAGAACTCCAATCACTAGGGTTGATTAGGGTGATATTTCTCCATCGTTCAAGGGGATTATTACAGTATATGCGATTAAACCAGCAAATGGTGGGTTTATAAACAGCCATATTATGGCAATTTCATGGGGAATGTGATGATCAATCAGTGGAATATTATCATTGTTTCTGGGCCTTAAACCCAATCATTTTATCGGGATTAAATGGGATCGAACGGGATAATACTGTGTGTGTGTGAATAATATATATATATATATAATTACATATAATATATGTATATATATGTAATTATACATATATATTTATATATGATTATAAATCATATGTGACATATCATATATGACATATCATATATTATATATACATAGTTACACATATATATAACTATATATAGAATGATGTGTGTATATATATATATATATTATGTGAAATCATGTATGACCAACAATATGAGTTGGTTGTTTCAAAAAAATCATGGGATGGAATGGGTACTACTTTCCGACAAACCTCACTGAGGTTAGGATCAATGGGTAGCAACTGTGGTACTTCCCTATGTATCCCATTTATTTCCATGCCCTCACAAATTGGAAATATTGGGGTATACCCCTGAGCCCTGCCATTCTCATTTGTCGTAACTTGAAAACTCACCCATCCACACTCCAACGTACGCGATTTCACCTTTGCATCATCTACATACAGTAACTCAGTATATGGAGGTTTACTAAGTCATGGGGGTACCCTCAAATCATCCATTTATAGAAGGATTTTCCTTTAATCGACTTTGGGAATCCCAATGACGGAAACCTCCAGGCTGAGTCTGTT